CCTGCGCAGCCCACCACCAAAACAACGATGCGCGGCCGCAACATCAAACTGCCAAAGAAATTTGAGTAGATAGGATTGTTTTTGAACTATTTAGACTACTCCACCAAAAAATCTCGTGATAATAGCTTTTGTATGGTGCTCTACAGCCTCATTTTTGATAGGCGGACATTTTAGTGGTGGTGTTGCATTGTCTGACCCGTTGCACGCATTGACCACCCACACTAGGGGCGGGACGGAGGTGGATCGATTTCAAGATTGGTGTCGCTGCAGGGACCAAGCTTCAGATCAGAGTACTTAGTCCAGATCCACCGGGTAATAATACTGCAGCATTCTGTTGGAGCAATTTCAACCACAATCTTGAAACCATGATTCAGGGGATATCGGACATGGCAAAACTGCACATCATCGGCAACTACTGTGCCTCCTCCGCTGTCGTGTTCTACCTACATCTCCAGTGCCTACACTTCCCATCCATGAGAACCATCAGAACAGCCATACGCGACCCCCCTCTCAACCAACAACACGACGGGGCCTTGGCAGATCCAGCTGGATTCCAGCATTAATACGCTGTGCAGTTTGCCGGCCTCGCCCGCGCCCAATAGCAACAGCGCCGTCAAGGCTACGACCACAGGCTGCATAGATGGCCAAGGTGCCTAGAAGGGGCCCCCAAGGACGAGTTCCTCATCACGCAACCGCGCCCGATAGTACAGCTCCCTATTCCGGCTTCCTCCCGTTTCCCATGGTTGGCAAAAAAGACCATTCACTCTTGCTAATGCGGAGGCAGCCAATATGGGGGAAGGCTTGAAACCCCCGATGAGCGGACGATTAACGGGTGCAGCAGTCAAATGTACACATGGCTATCACGACCTGTTTCCTAACAACCACCATCTTTTTTTTTCCTTTTCCTTTGTATCTTCCTATCAGCTTGCCCCACTGGTTTGCGGTTTCGTGAGAGGCGATCATGGCCGCAGCTGGTGCGGAGTCAGCCGCCACTGCGGTGGACCCCAAATGGGCGGCAGAGAACAATCTTACTCGCATTCTCGCATTGACAGGCGCCTTCCACATTGCGGCACTAACTAGTGTTGGTCTGCGGCTGTATGTTCGCGTGGGCTTACTGCGGTCGTTGGGCAGAGATGATGTGGCTATGGTGCTAGCTGCTGTACGTACGCCCTGACTGTCTTCTGGTTCTCTGGTTCAGCAAAGCTTACACGTAGCAGCTTGCGGCTTTGGGTGGTTGGATATGCTTCATTCTCCAGGGATTCCATGGATTCGGACGGCATGCGCAGACCGTATCGCCCGAGGACATGGTAAAGTTCACTCAGATAGGCTTCTTCGGCAGCATCATCTCGGCCATTGGAGCGCTGGGAATGCTCAAGATATCCATCGCACTGTTTCTGCTGCGACTGAAAAACAACAACTTATGGAAGTGGTACTCGCGCTGTCTATGGGGCTTGTTAGGTACGAGACGTCTTGAACAGACTCGAAAATATAGCACTGACGCGCGACAACAGGACTCGTGGTTTTCTACACCATCGGTGCATGGCTCACCTTCTTCCTATGGTGCGTTCCAATGGAAGCAGCGTGGACTAGAACAGGAGTCTGCTATAGCCCAAAGATGTTTACTGCCTTTGCATTGACAAACACGGGTAAGCTCACTCTGCGAACGAAGTGACACTTTTTACTCACATCCAGCAGCGTTGAATCGGCGAGTTTTGCACGTAAACTACCATGTCGATTCGCCATTTCAAATGTCTCGTCTATGGTTGTAGTAGTTGTGGTCGCAGCGCCCTTGTTGTATTGGCGGCGACCGCTGCCAATGGTTTCGGCGTGATCAATGTCGTCGTAGTGACTGTGGCGAGGGGCTCGTGTGCGCCCGTGGCGGCGGCTTCGGAGCAGCGGCTTGAACGTGGGTATGCAGGCAGCGATTATGCCGACGTTGAGTTGGAGACTACGGGTAACGTCAGGCCTTAGTCGAGGAGGTGTTGCTGGGGTTTTCTGATATGAATCAGGGGGGAGGAGAGAGCTTACAAGCCGAAGACGTTGAGATTTTGGGTACTGAGGTGGCATGAATGTTAGCCATGCTTGAGAGAATGGCTTGGGAATGTACGTACAAGGTTCGGTCTGTGTCACGCTTGACTTGGTAGGTTGCCTTTACGATTCCTAGAGCCACGGCACTGTTCACGTGATTAGTGAATGCACCCTCTGCGCCTCAATGCGACGTACACGTATCCCAGGCTGAGGACGCCGATCAAGTTCATGCGCGTAGTCCGAGACATCTGTAGACTCCAGATGATGGGAATCGGCAAAGTGGCAAAGCAAATGTCAGTGAAGATGCTCGCGGCATCACCATTACTATCACCACCACAGCCAAGAGAGGAAGAACGTGGTTTATAGTGATAACAGGCCTGGCTGCTATGGTAGTGCAGAGAGCGAGGAGTACATTCTGCAGCCTGATGCTGTTGCCGTTGATGCGAATAAGATTCGGTGTACGACAGAGGTGGTGATTGATCGTACCGAGAGAAGTAAACATTCTTTGGCTACTGGGGGTCCGCTGGGGTGACGTTGCTTTTTTTGGTTGGTATATGCAAAAATCGGCGTTGGAATTTAGCTAGGATTAATACGAATATGAAATTTTACAACATCGGCCGAACGAGACATGTAATTTCAAACAGAAACATGATGGACTGGCAACTGTATTCATTGTGAGTATTGAATGTAGCAGTGACCAAACATGGTTCGCACAAACCGCCTTGTCAAAGTCGTTTGGGAAGTTGTGCAATGCCCTGGATTGGCAGAGGCGTAAGTTGACTGTACTGTGAAATACGTGAACGTCACGAGTGAAGTATCAATGGATTGGCACTTAAATGCTTAAGAAAGGAAGAAGATACTTGTCTTCTTAACGCTAGCAGAACGAAGCCAGTCGAGATGTGTCAAAGATTTGTTGTGACAGTACGTAGCCTGAGAGGTCGAGTAGTCGAGACTACTATGCAATCCGGAAGCTACAGAATATCTATTGTTGTGACTCATGAGCCAGACTTTTGTGAAATGAACCATGATTTAAGGCTGTCCAGGCATTTGATAGTGGAGCATGGGTTCACCAGCCTCCAGTATCATTGTTGTTCCAGGAAGCCTCGCCGCCCGCAGCAACAACATCACCCCCAGAAGCCTCTCCACCCCAGCCACCACCGCTATCGCCATTCTCATTAGCAATCGGTGCCTGGCAGCGCTGTTCAAGTCAGTAAATTTCAATCTAACAGTACAATGGTTGGCGAGTGCTTACCTTGGGTCCATGTCCCATCTCACCACAGTTGCTGCATTTGTGCTTTGACCAGTCTTTGGGCTCTTTGCAATCACGTGAGAAATGGCCAGTCTTTTCACAATTGCGGCAGACGACCGTGTCGGGGTTGCGAGGCTGGTCGCATTCTTTGGCTATATGGTCGGCTGAACCACAGTTGCGACAGGTACGAGCAGCGGCGTTTGGACACTAAGAGTCGTCAGTACATCAAAGCAATACATGGGTCATCGTGACCAGTATGACTACTCACATCCTTGGAAAAGTGACCAGTCTCGTTGCATTTGCGGCACTCGACGCCCTCAGCTGAACGAGGTTCGGGACACTCCTTGGCGTTGTGACCCTCCTGCTTACAGTTCTTGCAAGCGTATGGGTTGACGCGCTCCTTGGGACAGTCACGAGCTCGGTGGCCGACTTCTTGACAGTACACGCATTGGGCTTGGGGCTGTGTGGTCTCGCCCTCAGCCTGCTCCTGCTTGCAATGCTACATAAAACTTAGCCTGACTACTTTGTGCCATAAAGACTGATGCACTGACCTTACGAACGTGACCGAGTTCACCGCAGTTGCCACAAAGAGGCACACCGCAATCTTGGACGTAGCCACAGGAGGCAAGGCGCTCAAGGTTCTGAGTCGGGCTCTCTGGCCAGCCTTGAGCCATCCTGGCGCGACGAGGCTTTGGGGATAGCTGGACCGATAGGACAAACTCACGATCGGGGTTGCCAATGAGGTCGACAATGGTCATGTTTGCCGCAATCTCCTGCTGTTTAGCAATCAGGTAGATGCCTAGACCATCCTCACGCAGAGCCTCCTCGACAGCAGGAAGACTGAACTCTTCCATAGTAGCGCGAGCGTAGGCGCGAAGACAGACACGGAATGCATCGAGGTCTTTGTCCTTGGCGGCATCGATGAGGGCAGTCCAGGAGGCCCGAGCATCCATCTCAGGAACACCAGACCAATCGACCGTGCGGCGTGACTTGCAATCGATGGCACGGTGGCCCTTCTGATCACATAGCTTGCAGGTGCCGTCGAAGGGTCGCTCAACACGCTCGTTGGTACAGTCCGCTTTGTTGTGACCCACTTGACCACAGTTGAAGCACTCGCCAGTGAGACCACCGCCTTCAGGCTTGGATGGGCAGTCGCGCGCATAATGGCCGGTCTGCTTGCAGCTGTTATACGGTTAGCGCCACCATAATGATGAATGCCAGTCTCACTCACATGCGGCAGCTGTCATCGCCTGTGTCGCCTCCGCCAGCATTGTTATCGCCACCACCCCATGAGTCGCCAGCACCAGTATCGGCGCCAGTATCGGTACCAGCGTTGCCGCCTGTCCAGCTGTCGCCAGATGGACTAGGGTCCCAAGCTTGAGCGCCGCCTGTACTGCATGTCAATATCAACCAAGGCTGTGGAGACATACTACACACCTGAAGCAGCTCCAGTGTCCCAGCTCATAGCGTCGGGCGATTGATACTGTAAGAAGACGTGTGTATCGACTGTGTTGAGTTTGGAGTAGTCTGTGAAGTTGGCAATGCCAGAAGCAACTGGGAGAAGAAGATCGCAGCTCTACGTGCGAAGGCGAAGTGAGAGGTTGTTGTCGGGGTGAGAAAGTTTTCCGCTATTGCCCTGTTCACATGTGGTAGGCAAACGTGAGGTCCGTGCTTCCGTTGCGTGGTGACGAGGTGAAGGTGAGGAAGGAGCTATGGAAGCCGATAGAAGGTAAAAGCGATGACGTGAAACAGTGATAGTGACGAGGTGAGATGGAGGTGAGGAAACAGCAGTGAAGTCCTTGGCCACAGGAAGACGATGGAAAAGAGAAGATGGCATTCCAGAAACAGACACGGTACGCAGTTGACACATCTGAAAATGCATTTGGCATATGAAATACGTAAATACTCATCAGGCACGTATACAAAGCGTGCTTACTCTCAAAAAGCTGGTATCATGTCATGAAAGCCTCAAGACCAAAGACTGCTTATGCTGCAACATTCATCGACCCAAGCCAGAACCTGAACTCCAAAAAAAAAATTGCGACGCCGAGCGCCACGCCCCCTCAGCGAGGCGATGAGTAATTTACACACCACGGAACTAGAGTAAATATTAGCACACGCTCGAACGGACAATAGCCACGAACATGGAGTATGACTTACCATACGGACCACCAAGAACCACATTGCGCCAATGAACCTAAAAGCGGCCAGGCCTGCAACACTGTACAAGACAACAGCCAAGTAGATGGTGGCAGCGTCGTTTCGTTTCTTCTGAGCCTCGTCGGGGCTGCTGACGGTAAGCTCCAGGCCACCCGACTGCAGCACCAGCGCCGTCAGACCCAAGTTGCAGAACATCCAGAAGAGCACGACACCCGATCGGAAACCCTTGTAGTAGTCTTCCTGCTTTTCAGCGGCTGACGGGATCTTCTTCTCCTCGACCCACTTGGAGCTGAACACCTTTAGCTCTTCCTCGTATTGAGTGTTGAGATCGGCGTCATCGGTCGGTGCCTGGATATCGGCTTTACCGTCGGCTTTTGTCGTGACTGAAGGCAGCTTTTCCGGCTTGTCATCTCCTTTGGTGCCCCATGTGATGTCGTGCGTGTTGCAGAAGGCATAGACGTTGAGAATGTTGATGTAGGTTGGCGTCATGAGGAGATATTGGATAAAGGATGTGAACATGTGCCATGGATCCAGGAAGATGATAGAGACGAGCAGCCACATGACGTAGGTCGACAGCAGCGATATGATCAAGGTTGCGAAGATTTTATCTTTGAACAGATCGACAAAGTTGAAGCCGTTGTTGGCCTTGATTTGTCCCTGTACGGAGCGGACCGTGATGAAGATGGAGGCAAACATGAGGTATGTCATGATGATACACCAAAAGTAGACCATGGACATGTACCACTTGTTGGAACCCTGGGGCCGATTGCCAAGTGACAGTATAAAGCAGGTAATGAGCACGGCAATGTAAAGCCATTCGAATATGATGAAGAGGACCTTGCCAGTGGTACCGAGTTCGTTTTGCAGCGAAGCCGTGAGAATGCGGAAGACGAGGAAGAAGTTGCCAAGCGCGAACCAGGCGAAAATCATGCTGATAGTCTGGTACAAGAACTCGACGAGGAACATGATTTTACGCAAAAAGGAGTGGTCACTGCGGAAGATGTCGTACGAGTGAGCCAAGGCATAGACGGCAGCGAAGAAGGATCCGTTCAGCCAACGACGACGCTGACTGATGAACTCGGCCATGGTCGTGGGGACATCAGTTTCTCCCGTGGCCGACTTGACGTATTGCAGAATCCAGTGGCAGTTACGCTTGGATACGAGCTCGAAGCAGAGAATACGATCTTCGGCCAAGTACATGTTGGCTGTGAAGATGCCAGCGTTGGCGCCGTGCATCTTCTCACCAGCAAAGTACTTTTCCAGTGGTCCTTGTCCGGCCTTGTCGTTTTGCAGAGCGACATAGCGGTAGGCCGAGAAAGCACCAGGAAGCACACTGATGAAGCCGAATGCCGACTCGAGAGGCTTATCCAAAATGTTACTCATCTTGTACTCAAAGTTCTGCGTGGCAACGAGGGGGTTCAGAAGCTTCTTTCCGTGCACCAACATGGCCTTGATCTCACCACAGGCACCAGCGCACATGGGTTCGAGATCGAAAGCCTTCCACAACTGGTAGACAGAGTCCTTGCCAGGCTTTGTACCCGCGTCGATGAGCACACAGACGTTGGGGTCGAGGACAGTGCCGAATGCCTGGAAGAACCAGCGATGCGAGTTGATCTTCTTCTGGTTCTTTTCCTTGAGACAGAAGAGCATCTGCACGGGCGTGTTGCCCTTCTTGACGCCAACGACACCCTTTTTGATGTCGAGAGTCATCTGGGTGGTGTATTCGTAAATGTGCGCAGTCACATCCTTGCCGTTGACTTGCTGCTTGGCAATGCCGTCTTGGTAGACACCGAGACCTGCCAACACTGCGCGGGTGCGTGGATTGATCTTGGCACGACCGTCGCTGACGACGCACACTACGATCTTCTTCCACGCGTCTTTGCCCCACGTCTTGCTGTTGGTGCGCGAGTTCATGTACTCGATGTTCTTGATGACGCCAATCATGGTGCGCGCGAACAGCTCGTCTTCCTCATTGTACATGGTAATGACAATGAAGAGCTCAGTGTGTCGCGGCTTTGCAAACAGCTTTTGTCGCAGGGTGAATCGCTCAGCATCAAAGTCTGCGGGGTCGCAGGTGGCGGCCGAGTAGCGCATGTGTGTGAACTCGTCACGCTCGGGGGGCTGTGCATGTGGGACCTGGTTGAGCAACCGCGGTGGAATGGGGCAGTCCAGCACCAAGTTGCCCTTGAACAGCTGGACTTCCTTTACCGTTTTCCACCGCTTGATTGGCGTTTGGCTGGGGGGCGGCGCAGGCTCATCGTGAAACGGGTTTTCCGGGTCCATGTCTTCCGGGTCATGAGGATCTGGGCCGTACGAGTTGGCGCCCTGGATCATGGGCCTGTTCATGTCGTCGTCCTGCCAGTAATGGGTGGGCTGTGTGCCGTAACCCGCCCCGGGACTCTGATCAATGGGCGTGGGGTCGTAGGGCTGCTGGTAGTAGGCATCGTGGTGCGTCTGGGGGTCGAACGAGTAGTTGTTGTCATGTCGCTGCGGCCGTGGGTCGTAGTCGTCGTGGTAGTTGCCGCCAGCGTATGGAATGTTTTCTACCGAATACTATCATGTGTGTTGTCAGCCGCGCGCCGTCTGTTTTGGAGGCAGCGCTTTTGCAGTCTTTTGCAGCGCAGCGTGCATTCTCGGCCAACATACACTGGGTTGTAGGGGCAAGCGGTCGCTCGAGGCGGGGCCTCTTGGGTGCCCGCCATCACGACGCACTACGCACTACACCCGCTCGTTGCTGTGGTAAACACTGCCGTGTACCCTGCACCACTTGTGACCCACCACGCTCCTCTGAAACACCCCCCCCCCCATATCCCCGTCCTCGCGCCCGCAACCTTGTGGGCGACACAATCCCCAACGCCTGCCTCTCCTCCCACACTTGCTGTTGGGCCATCTCGCGTGCCCGGTGTTTTGGACTCTGGTTCGCTTCGTCGCATCGCTGCAATTTCCTACCCAGTCAGCCGCGGCCCCATCACGGAACACACGCCAGCATGTCATATAACCGACTAGGTACGTCGTAATAATCGTGCCGTCTCGCTGAGCGCCCGGCCAAGAGCTCTTTATTGCGCCTTTGTTCCTTGCTCGCCGCCCGCCCCCGTCTCACACTGACCGTCCTCCCACAGGTCACCCCGACGGCAGTGACGACCCCTACGATATGGACCCCCGACGACCAAACGGCCGCACGCCTTCGCCTGGCCAGCCGCTGCGTGGCTACCAGCTCGAAGACCGATATGCCTCCCCCCAGCCCTCGACCGTCCTCGAGATCCCCATGGGGCCAGGCCAGTCAATCGAATCCCGGCAAACGAGGGCGTGCGTGCGGCAGCGGGGGAGGAGGGATGTAGGATGTAGGGTTATGGGGCATAGGATGGGGGGAGAGGATATGTCGAGGGCCGCTCAGCTGGCGGCGAGCGGCGCGTGTGTAGTTTCTTGTACTGTATGCAGGCGGGCAGGCGGGCAGGCACAGCGCAGTCGGCGTGGGGCTGGTGCAGCGCCCGCCACACTTCACAGCCGCACGCTGTTACGCAGCCCGGCTATTTCGGGCTATTTTGGGCCATGCGTGTGACTTTGGCTGTCTTGGTCTCACGGCAACGGCTGCGGCTATCTATCGATAACACAACCCGCCGCCTGACGACATGCCCCCCGTCGCCATCCCGTCGCCAGCTCCGTCGTGCCTCGCCTGGCCTGGTCTTGTCCGCTGATATCTCTTGTTTCGTTTTGTTTTTTGATCGTTCTGTTCACTTTGTTCTGTGGTTCCGCATTACTCGTGGGCCGCAGCGCTCTTCATCAACCCATCTGACCCACGATCGCCCTCGCCTCCCCCCTCAGCCTCGGACTTGCGCCAAGCAAGCGCTTACACTACATGGGCACAAGTGGTGGCTGCGCATTTCGGGCCCCGCTCGTGCTCAGGCCCCAAACCCAGAGGCAGTGAGGTATCTAATGTCTGGTATGCGCTCCTCGCATTGCCTGCGCGCCGCGTATCAAGTCTTGGACCTGCAAAATGTGCCGCAAAACACGCGTCGACGCTACCTGATGTCTAGCGTGTTTTCGCTTTGCTGCTTACTGTCAGCCGGTGCTACTCCATCCTAGCTGCAATCCCGCCCTCGCATCTGGGCTCGTGCTTCGAGTAGTACCAGCACTGTGCAGCCACAGCCACCTTTTCTCAGCCTTGCTCCCACATGTCAGCATAACAACTACACGCCCCGACTACACCTACACCTACACGCCCCGGCCCATCATCACCATGGGCGAACCATCGTCTCCGCAGCCCGTCTCGGTCCTCTTCGTCTGCCTTGGAAACATCTGTACTTACTACACCACCGCCCCGCTTCTTGCCTGCGACCCCCCAACCGCTGACTTGCCCCAGGCCGCTCAACCATGGCCGAAGGAGTGTTTCAATCCCTCACTCGGCCCGCGGGCAAGCCTGCACATCCCCTCGTATCGCGCATTGATTCCTGCGGCACCGGCGCATACCATGTCGGCTCCGACCCCGACTCGCGCACCATGGCCACCCTGCGCAACAACGCCATCACCACCTACCGCCACTCGGCCCGCAAGTTCTCGCCTTCCACCGACTTTGACCACTTTGACTACATTCTGGCCATGGACGACGACAACCTGGCCGACCTCGAGAGCCTGCGCCAGAGGGAAGCCAAGAAGCGGGGCTCCGAAGAGGGGCTCGCCAAGGTCATGCTGTATGGCGAGTTTGGTGGCAAGAGGCGAAAGTACAGGGGCAGAGAACTGGGCGAGGAAATCGACGACCCGTATTACGGCGGAAACGATGGCTTCACCACAGCCTATGAGCAGGCACTCAGGTTTGGAAAGGCCTTTTTGGAGCAGCTGGAGGCGGGAGAGTTGAGCTGAAACATGCGCCCAGAGAATCCCGTCTGTATGAGTCGATTCTAGATTTGATACCCATAGACTAGCCATTGGCTACCAAGCACTGCCAGTTCCACGGCTCTTCAGTGGCCGCTTTGATCTCTCCCTCGCTTGCTCTTGGGTATATTTTTGCCGCCTTGCCACTACGAGTTCTTCTTGATCTGCCTCTCAAGATCCAGCAGCTTTTCTACCACCTTTCCTCGCATGAACTCGGTCAGTCCTAATCTAAGGTCCTGTTAGTCTCCCACCTGCCTCCAACACTTCCATGATAAGGGGTACTCACATTCCCTCCCTTGTCACAATGCGATATGTCCCGCTGTTCTGCCACCCCCCATCGCCCCCGCTAAACCTGCCATTGCCATCCACCTCGACGCTCCCAAAAATGTCCTCTGGAAAAGCAATCCGCCCGTAGTCTGGAGGGTTTCTCAAATCGCTAATGTGTATCCATCCCCCATGGCCAGCCCCTCCCATGCCCCCCTGGTGGTTGGCGCCCCCCGCGCCATCATTGGGCCGTGACAGATTCGAGCCGCCTGGCGACGCGTACACGGCAGCTTGTGACTTGACGTATGGATCGTCTATGGCGTACCTCGCAAACACCGACGACAGTATGGGAAGGAATTGCGGGTTTTCGCTAAAGTTCTGCGGTGTCGGCGGGAGAGCTGTGCATGTGCCTATAGCGAGTTGGGCTGTCGGGGGTTCCGTCGGGAGCAGAGACAGCAATCGCTTGCTTGCATCGTATGGGTCCTTGTGCACATACTGCAAGTCTGTCAGTAGTTGATGTGCAACGACTCGACACAGCATACAATGTGCGGGTTCTCTGGCAGTGTCGAGGCAGGCCGGGCGCCTCTGAGCCGAAGTGCTGGCGGAGCTGGTCGCACGCGGCGTGTTGAGCGCACAAACGAATTGGCGAACATTTGGTACAGCACCGGACACATGGGAACGCGCAGTCGCTGGGGTTTGTTGTTGATGTCGACGTCGACGCCGCAGCTCACATGGAATCTGATAATCTCAGACGAGTAACGATGACGAGCACCTCGGACGCCCGACCGCTTCTGGACTAGCGGCAGATCTTGCCGTGCCCATCCATCCTGCATCCATGCCATGGCTCCTTCGGTCCTAGTCACATGAAAAGCACCAAGTACCACATCTCCAAAGACGGGACGGCACAGTCTCAACAAATTTGCCCAGACCAACAAAAGACGCTTGTCTTGCCACCGGGCGAGTTGCACGCGAGCCTCGGGAACCCCAGCTGCCGCAATTTGACTTCTCGACCGCTTGCCGTAATCATTCTCCAAACACCACCTAGCGTAACCCCACCAGCCATGCAAATTGTTTGCACCAGCGAATCACAAGATGCGCCCATTAGCGGAGGATAGGCCGAACGGCATCGGCTTAAGTAAGTCGAGCAGGTGCATTACCGTGGAATGGCTTTTCTTCTTCGGCTCATTCTTTTTGTTCCTCGTATGCATAGCTGCGCCTGCACCATGACTTCCAGTGCGGTGGACACAGCGCCAATGGGCAAAGATGCAGGCGACTCAATGGCAGCGAAGCAGACAGGACTACAGGAAGACGTCGAAGTCGGGCCCGAGGTGATTGACATTGACAGAATCGAACGGGTGTATGCGTAAGTCAGTTGCACAGTCATGTCCTAAAAAAAAACAGTACTCATGACGATGCAGTAAGCTGGATCGCCGTATACTACCAGCCTTTTGGGTGCTGTACTTCATGTGCTCAGCAATTCGGTCCAACATTGGACTTGCGCAAACGATGAATCTGGCTGAAAAACACGACCTCGGATCCGTGCTCGACATCACGCCCAAACAGGTCTCGACGGGTCTGGCATTGTTCTACGTCTGCTATGTCTTGTTCGATCTGCCCTCGAATCTCATCATGTCGAGGGTCAGCCCGCATGCGTGGATGAGTCGCATCGTTACTTGTGTGGGCATCATCGGCATGTGCTTGACTGCTATGAACGCAGCATGGAACCTCTAGTGCGTACTGCTTGGGCTCTTCTCGGCTTCGTCGCTGACCATGTCCAGTCTACTTCGGTTGTTGCTTGGGATTGTGATTGCGGGCATGTGGCCTGGCATGTCCTACTACCTGACGCTGTTCTATCCTCCGTCTCGAACCGGAAAACGCATTGGACGCTACTTTACAGCCTCGCAGATGTCTGCAGCCGTCGTGGGCCTGGTTTCGGCTGGGTTCCAGAAGATGGATGGTGTCGGTGGTCTGGTTGGTTTCCAGTGGATGTTCCTCCTTTACGGCATCGTCGGATTCATTGTCGGTGTGTCGCTGCTCTGGTGGTTGCCGGATCGGCCATTGCCGCCTGGCCAAGTCCGTCAACGAACAGGATGGGCCAAGTGGCTTCCCCAAAGCAAGCCGGCTTTGGAGGGCGAGGACGCTCGGGTCCACTATGAAGACCTCAGGCGCGTCTATAGCCGCAAGCTGTGGAACATGAAGGATTTGTGGAACGTCATCATCGACTGGAGAATTTACCCGCTGGTGGTCATGTACTTTGGCGTGGTGGGTGTTGGCAACGGGACACAGGCATATGCAACAGTCATTATCCGGGGGATTAATCCAGGCCTGACAGGCATCCAGCTCAGTCTGCTGTCGGCACCTATCTGGATTGTGAGTGCTAGGCAGAGAGATATTGACGGGTCTGGGCTGACCATGCACAGATGGATCTAGTGGCTATCCTCGTCGTGACGCCCATTTCGGACCGCTTCCACCACCACAGGCCCGCATTTTTCAGCGGTGCCGTCGTGGTCCAAATCGCAGGCCTGGTGATTGCGACATTCGCCAAAGGCTGGTCGCGATACGGCGGGGTTTTGCTGATTGGGTTTGGGCTTGGGCCGACGGTGCCCATCTGCATGGCGTGGTCCAACGAGATTTTTCAACCCCGCCATGGCGAGGTGGGCGTGGCGGCGGCCAGCGCACTTGTGTCTGGGTTGGGCAACCTGGGCAGCATTCTCACGACGTACGCGCTGTATTCGGGATGGGCTGCAGATGCAAGGGAGGGAGCGCACAAGTATCGCAAGAGCAACTTTGTCATGATTGGCATTCTGTGCGCCAGCATGCTCAGCGCAGGCAGCATGGTGGTGCTGCTGAGGGTTTTTGGCGGCAGCAAGGGTAAGCAGAGCAGCACCGGCGCCAGGTCGACTGACGAGGGCTCGGGGGGCTGTGTGGACGGTGCAGCGCGGCGCGAGTTGCAGCAGCGGGGGCTGGGACGCATGTTGTGGTTCAAGTGAGGCGGCATGGCATTCGAGGGCCAATGGCAATGTGTGCGATGGGCTTGTGGGAAAGGCGATGGTGGGTGGAGGTGACGAGGCGGGAGCAGGGAGTGGGAGCGAGGGAGCGATACGTAGCAGGCTTTATGCAAGTCAGCATCCCGGGTCTGACAGCATGGATGCAGGCGGCCAGCTGGGTGTAGGCATGGGTGCAGCAGGCATGGGCGTGCGTGGTTTGCATGCGCATGAGGGTGAAGCGTGCCGTGTCGGTGGATGCATCTGGCATGCCTGTTGTGGTTGCGTGTGCGTGTGCGTGCGTGCTTGACGGCGACTGGCGGCGATGACTAAGCGCCACGGCTCGGCAAAGCGTTCACAGAGCGTTCGCCGCTGGTTGGCTGGGCGGGCGGGCAGAGGCGTGGGCCGTCACTCGTGCCATCACCATCACCATCGCCATCGCCATCACGATCCTCGTTGCCGTCGCTGTCGCTGTCGCCGTCGCCGTCGCCGGACGTGTGGTGATAAGAAGGAATACTGCAAGTAGCGGGGCAAGTCCAAGCGCCGCCTTTTCTCCAGCACATCCACATCAGACGCACCCCAGAGCCACGGCTTGGGCGCGCCCCGCTGAAAACATCGGCACAGCACTGACGTAAGTAAGGAACTTGACGCCCGCCCGCCCGCGCTCTCGCTCGCTCGCTCTCTGCTCTCTCTCTCTGCTCTCTCTCTCTTTCGCTCGCCCTCGCCCTCGCCCTCAGCAGCCCAGGCCCTTTCTGCCCCCGCGCGTCTGCGTCTGCGTCTGCGCCCGCGCCCGCGTCTGCCGTCACACGGCCCGCACCCAAGCCCCTCTCAACAGACGCGCTGCTCCATCCATCGCTGCATGCCTCAGCCCAGCCCTGCATCGGCACACCTGCTGAGATTACATGAACAGTCCCCGCACACGCAAACCACCGACGCCGCCGCCAGCTCCATCCCCGGCTCCTGCTCCCCCATCGTATAGTAAGCCGGTGCCTGCCAGCCCACGCCCGCCATGTCCGCCGCCATCGACAACGAGGACCTGGAGGAGCTCTCCATCTCCATGCCCGCCCAGCGGCGAGGCCAGGGAGGAGGGCCCGGCACCCCAAAGCCCCAAGACGCCGCCCCAGTGCCGCCCGCTGCGCTCGGCACAGCTGTCCACGAGACCAAGAGCAAGGACACAAAGGCAAACCAGCGCCTCGGCCAGTACACCATTGTACGCACCCTCGGCGAGGGCTCCTTCGGCAAGGTCAAGCTGGCCACGCACCAGGTCAGCGGCCAGAAGGTGGCGCTGAAAATCATCAATCGCAAGCGCCTCGTCACCAGAGACATGGCCGGCCGCATTGAGCGCGAGATCCAGTACCTGCAGCTGCTCCGGCACCCCCACATCATCAAGCTGTACGTACAGTGTGCAACATGTCCCCATCCTGTCGCCTGCTTACCCGCTGCCCCAGCTACACCGTCATAACCACGCCCACCGAGATCATCATGGTCCTCGAATACGCCGGCGGCGAGCTGTTCGACTACATTGTGAACCACGGCAAGCTGCAAGAAGCACAGGCCCGAAAGTTCTTCCAGCAGATCGTCTGCGCCGTCGAATATTGCCACAGGCACAAGATTGTGCATCGAGACCTGAAGCCCGAGAACCTGCTGCTCGACCACGAAAGCAATGTCAAAATCGCCGACTTTGGTCTGAGCAACATCATGACCGACGGCAACTTTCTCAAGACGAGCTGTGGCAGCCCAAACTATGCCGCCCCCGAGGTCATATCCGGCAAGCTCTACGCTGGTCCCGAGGTCGACGTCTGGAGCTGCGGTGTCATTCTCTACGTCTTGCTGGTTGGCCGCCTACCCTTCGACGATGAATACATCCCCACCCTCTTCAAGAAGATTGCCGCGGGACAATACAGCACCCCGAGCTACTTGTCGCCAGGCGCCACTTCTTTGATCCGGAAAATGCTCATGGTCAATCCCGTACATCGCATCACCATTCCCGAGCTCCGCCAAGACCCCTGGTTCACAACAGACTTGCCGGCATACCTCGAACCCCCTGCGCAGGAGTTCTTCGACAGCGGCGCAGATCCAAACAAAGCCATCGATCCCAAGGCTCTTGCCCCAACGGCCGATGCGCCCCGAGTACAGGCGTTACATGAGAATGTTGTGACCAAGCTCGGAAAGACAATGGGTTATGCAAAGCACGACGTGCAAGATGCGCTGGCACGTGATGAGCCAAGCGCTATCAAAGACGCCTACTTGATTGTTCGGGAGAATGAGATGATGCGAGAGAACCGTAGGCACAATCATATTTTAGTCATATATTGTCAGTGGCTAATCAGTTGTTACAGCTCTGTTGACCAATCATGATGGGGTGCCGGTATGGAATCAACAATCACCGCCCACCCATGAAAGCTACATGGACAAGTTTAGACCGCAGTCACTGAACGCAGCCTCGCGCCCGCAATTTATTCCGCCGGCTCCTATAGAACACGAGAGGGCTCGCCAAGGATCCAACGCTAGCAGCCAACTTGCAAGCATTCGGAGTCCCGTCAGCACCGTGGCCATTCTCCCGAGCAGTCTTACCGAATACCACAAGGCTTATATGAAGGGCCATCCACGGCCCCTGAACAAATTCCAAGACAACGACAGTCTGCCACCAACACCCGAGCAAACCGAAGAACAACGGCAGATTTCAGCTCGAAGACTGAAGCCCAACTTCCGCACCATGCCAGAAGCGAATAGACAAAAACCCGAGCCAATGACAAGCTTGCCCGCCAAGAAGCCACGAGCGACCAAGTGGCAATTCGGTATTCGATCGAGGAATCAGCCGGCCGAGGCCATGCTTGCTATATTCAAGGCACTAAAAGCCATGGGTGCTGATTGGGAGGTGCCAAAGATACGCAGAGCTGGTGGTGGTAGTGGTTCCCGCAGCCGGAGTGCTTCTCAGGCTCGTGACAACCGCAAATCAAAGCCAAGGCATCAATCACAGGAATCGATATCGTCACATTCTTCAAGCGAGGGCCGAGACGAGGAAAGGGACTCGCCGCATCGCGAACCGCTTACTGTGCGGAACAATGGCAACAACGAGCAGGATTCAAGGGGTCGACAGAAAAAGCATTACAATCATACCAACGATTGGGGTTACCATGTTCCAGAGGATCCATGGGTCATCAATGCGCGCTTCCTCAAGGAAGGAATGTTCCCGCCGGGCGTAGCACATCCGTCATCGACGCATTCTTCACGCGTCGATCTTGCCAATGATCCATCTGGTCTCCGCAGGCGTAGTTCGACTAACACTAGCACATCAAGCGTAGGCCACGGCGTCGAAGGCATGACTTCGTCAGATCGCGCTGGATCCGTGAGTGAGGAGCAGGTCAACCCAGATGAAGCAGTTTACATATACATGTCCATCCAGCTGTACAGCATTGACCGCGACTTCTTTGTCGTCGACTTCAAATGTGCCGGCTACGAGCGCCTAGTCACCAATCTTGTCCGCGAAATCAAGGCATCAGTCGTGCCCGAGTTTCGCTCACACCACCAGGACGGCTGGGACGACGAACAAGGCGTGTGGCGAAGACTGGATGAGAATGAACCGCTGCCCAAAGATCTGGTCAATAAGCTCAACGAAGGAGGCACAGAAGTTCTCCGAGAGAGGACGGAGCTTGTGGGTGCGGGTCGACAGGAGGGAGAGAAGATTGTCACGAGTCCTTTTCCGTTCCTGGATGTTGCCAGTACGCTTATCTTACAGTTGAGCGGCGAGTAGTGGGAGGAGAGGGAGAGTTTGTGTGTATATGGGTAAACAGCGTGGAAAGCGAATGCTGTTCTTGAAACAGGAAGCAGTGTGTGTGTGTGTGTGTGTGTTGTTTCTTTGTACGATGAAATGAATGGGCAGAGGCGAGGGGTGCGGCAATGGACATGACATACCTGAGTACGGGTTAGTTGGAATAACGCGTTAGATAGCGTATAGACATGACAAGAAGAGAGAGACGCATAATAGCTTTTATGAAGAACCTGATTGTACGCTTCCCCCCTCGAGTCCCTAAGCTGGTCGTGATGATATTCGCGGGTATAATATAATCAATGTTAATTGAAGCCAGTCATTATATCATGTATACAAGTACCATTCATACATGGCCAGCCCAGAGTAGGAGATGTCACATTATCAACGCCTTTTTTGGTTTAGAATCTCTTGGACTGCACTCATGCCAACAGTCTCACTCATACACACACACACACTCACACAACTAATAAACAAACAAACAGACAGACAAATAAGCAACCCAGCTCATGTCATACTTGGCAACCAACACAGCCCTTCAACCCTCAACCAGAGAGATACTAAATACACACGGTGAACAAAGCGTCGTCAGAGAAGCCCAAAAGACTGAACATGGTTGCTGACGCAGCCAGGAAGAGAGCGACAGAGCGGCTTTTTTTTGTTTCTCTCTTGCTTATCGCATGCCTCCGCCAAAGCCTCCGGCGGCAGCGCCCATGGCGCCCAGTCGCGAAGCCAGCTTGGGGTACTTTTCTTGCACCTGCAATCTTTGTCAGAAACTGTTCTTCTAATCGCAGCATGATTGGGTACGAGTCTCTTACCTCAAGTTGCGTCCTTGTCGCCTCCGCATAGCTGAGTGCGTTGACAATCTCACCCTCTGTTCTCGACAGCTCTGCCGCACGCTCAAAGTACTTGAGCGCCTCTGTAACCTTGCCTTGTTGCAATAGCAGCTGTGCCATGGTAGCGACGGCAATATCGCATTCTGGGTCGATGATAAGCGCCTTCTCGCACAGCTTCTCGGCCTCGTCGAAATCGTTCTTCCATTGGAAGAGGGCGAGAGCTTTGTTGATCAGCGGCAGGACGTTCATGCCGAGGGGCTTGGTTGTCTTCTCCATCTCAACCGCAGTGTCGAACTTCTCAATGGCCTCCTGGTACTTTTGCTGGTCGAGCAGCAGCTCACCGTAGTAGTTGTATACATCGGGTACTTGAGAAAAGTTCTTCATGCAACGGCGGAAAGTGGCCATGGATGAGGCGATGCTGCCCATCTTGTATTGTGTAACACCAAGTTGAATGTGCGAGAAAATAAAGTCCTTGTCCAGGTCGATCGACTTCTGGTAGTCCTTGGCGGCCTCACCAAACTCGGACTTGATGAAGTGCAGTTGTGCGCGATGGTAGTAGATGTCTGGGTCACTCGAGTTTTGTTCAAGAGCAGCAGCAAAGTCGGCTTCGGCCGCCTCTGGGTTGGCCAGCTCAAGGTGCATGCTGGCGCGCTTGATGAAACTCTGAGTTAGTGTGGGCTGGAGCTCAATGCTCTTGTCCATGTCCTTGAGGGCGTCTTCGTTGTCACCCTTGAGGTAGCTAAAGGTTCCACGCATGTTATACGCAAATGCCTCAAGATCACCAAGATCACCAAGTTCCAGTGCGCGGTCAAAGGCGGCGGCAGCCTCAGTGTAGCCATCGCCAGTCTTGGTAGCCATGGCCTTTAGTCCCTTGCGCAGTTGGCCCTTGCCACTCTCCTCGTCAAGCTCGGCATCGTCGTCGAGGCCTTCCGGTGTGGGCTTTGGCCGGAAGCTCTGTAGGTAGTTTGTGACAAAAGTCGGGCTGGGCAGCTTCTTCTCCTTGGCTTCCAGGATGGCCTTGCCCTTGGCTTCGGCCACCTTCTTGAGCAGACGTTCAACGCTCTGGGCGCTGTTCTCGTTGCGGAATCCATCAATGATGCAGCTCGCGGTGTAGTCTAGAAGGGCCTCGCTGTTGCGCTCGACTTGTTCGTAGGCGTTTGCTCTCCGGTTCAGCGCCTTGACGTATTCGTTGTCGAGGTTGATGGCGGCGGTGGTGTCGTCAATGACCTTTTCCCATTCCGACATGGCGTTGTAGCATGCAGCGCGGTTCGAGTAGAAGACGGGGTCTTGCTTGCAGAGAATGGCCTTGCCGTACAGCTCAATGGCGCGGTTGTAGTCTTTGGAACCGTAAGCCTTGTTTCCTGCGGCCTTGAGCTTGGCGGCATAGTCCTTGCGCTCCTGTGACGAGTCAGCCTTTGTCCTTGCAGTAGCCGGAAGAAGACTGGGGATTGATGCTGGCACTGCTTGACCCCGCCATGCGTGGTACCGCTGCGACAATCCATGGGCTGCGTATGCTGTCTCGGGTGCAGCCGTGACGGGCCCAGCGAGGCAACAGAATATGCTTGAATTATGCGTGTCGTACCTCGTCGGATAATACAGTCACACTGTTTTCGTCGACTTCGGGGAGTTGTTCTTCGGCTGTGTCGGCAACGGATGCCTTCCTCTCTGTTGCCTTGTGCGTCAGCCTGTGTGCAGCCCGGAGCGTGGCATGCGCATACCAGCGGCCTTTTCCGGCGTCGAGTCCTTCTCAGCCCGCTCTTTCGCACGCTTGCGCTCGCGTTGCCTCTTGCGCTTGGTGGCTGCTGTGTCTGCTCCGCCGTCGCCTCTTGAATCGTTCGAAAAGTAGTACACGACGCCGCCCGCGCCGACGACGAGCGTTATGCCGGCGATTGTGTATACAACGCCCTTGTTGTCGGCGGCCCAATTCGAGAGGCGGTCCCAGAGCGAGTTGCTGGTGTCTGCGGGAATCTGGACGGGAAACGGGCCCGGGCCCTGCGGTGCAGGGGCATTTACGGGCGCCATGTGTGGAGAGATGCGGAGATGGATTCGGGGGATCGAGGACCAGCGGATACGCAAATGGACGGCTCAATGGCGATGGGGCGGTGCTGTGTGTGGTGTTGGGCCTTGGTCGCAGAAATTTGGCTAGGGCAAGCTTGGTGCAACGACGTGAGCGAGCTGTGTGGCTCGAGCGCCGGCGGACGTCATCAGCCTTGCCGACTGCGCCGCTGCTCTCCAGCCACAGCCCAGCCACAGCCCAGCCACAACGCCGTCCTGGTGCTGGTGCTGGTGCTGATGCTGCTTCGGACTCTGCAAATGAACGGCTTTCCATGCCACGCCAGCTGATCTTCTCTCCCGCTTATGTGCGAGTGCGCCCCGCCGTGCTGCGTCAGGGGAGAAGCTCGCGTCAGCCCTAGTGCACTTCGCAGGCCTGTCTGGAGCACTTACCCAAGTAACAAGGTGTGGCTAGTGTACAGCATCGCATGCATCGACCACGTCTTGACTCACGCCCATGACAACACATCTCCCATTCCTCCTGTCGTCGAAGCAGCCGTCAAGGGCTGTTGCCGTACTTGCGAGAGCTTCAAACACCCATCCCATCATGGCGCCTGAAAATGAATTCCAACTCTTCACATCGCTGCGTTACGACCCCTTGCTTCTCGAATCACACGAGAACTCGCGGCCAATCCTGAACTTTGTCGCTCCCTCGCCATTCTACATGCTTGCATATCACCGCGATAGAATGGTCGAAGCTGCGCAGCACTTTGACTTTTCTGAAGTCGAACAACGGCTGCGAGACGGGAAAGCCTTGCACGAGGAATTGTTGAGCAGAACGAAGAGCGAGATGGAAAAGACTGGAAAAGACCGAGCGATGAAGGTACATGGCCATACCTACCATGGTGAACTTTGCTGACGCTGAGCAGCTGCGATTATTGTTCGATAAAGCGGCGAACCTTACAGTCGAGTTTACCGACATACCGGCCGTACCACTTTCTACACTCTATCCACCCTCCTTAGACCCACCAAATTCCAAAGGGCCACAAACTGCTGCGACTGGCTTCGAACCTTCTCCTCTGACAGGTGGAGCTCTGACTCTCGGGCCTGATGATTCCCTCCCCGCATCAACGTCAACCCCTCCACCCCCACCAGAATGGAACATCAAGCTCGACACAGCACCCACACCGTCATCACCGTTTACCCTGTTGAAAACTACAAAGCGAGACATGTACGATCAAAGCCGCGAGCGCGCTTTACCTGAGAACCCCAAAGGCCCCGCTTACCGCGAAGTCATGCTCTACAATGAAGTGAATGAACTCACCGAAGGCACTCTGACATCCCTTTATCTATTCCGCGGCGGTCGCTGGGTCACTCCTCCTGTCGGCGTACCGTCTGGCGAATTCACAAGCAAGACGCTAAAAGACGACGGCGCTGATGAAGGAGAGCTGAGAAAGCCATTTGCTGGGCGATGGGGCCATTCAACAAGGAGTGCAAAAGTGGGTGCTGGAGGCCAGAGAGGTACGAGTCGGAGATGGGCGCTTGGCAGTGGATATTGCATGGAAGAGCCCGTCAGTATCGACACGGTTCAGGTAGGCGAGGGTGTGTGGGTTAGTAATGGAGTGAGGGGCTTTGGTTTTGGAAGAGTGGTTGAATAAAACGCGTCTTCGTATGATTGCAGTAACTCATGATCGCACTCATGGTCAAACCTACCCATGTCCATTTCCAAATGCGTTGTTGGATGTCTTCGTCAAATTTCAAGGATTTAAAATTACCTCCGATGTATTGGTGCATGCAAAAATACATCACATGGCTGAGCCATGGTTGACATCTTGGCCAAACACGGTTCCACACTACAATTAACAACTGCCAAAGAATTCAAACACCTTTTCTCATCTTAGCAACATATAAGAACGCCTGAAAAGCACCAGAGTATCTTGAAACCAACACCGCATCAAAACATTCTGACCATCACCACCACCACTACTACTACTACTACTACTACTACCATGAACCCAACCAACATCCTAGGCGAAGTTTGCCTCCACTGCAACACTCGCATCATATCCCCATCATCAACGTTTTGCTCCCAAAGCTGCTTCAACACTTGTTTCGAAACGTGCTTCAAAGCCACCGACAAATATCAAATCTATCGGCCTAGTCTACTCTCGTCCTCTTCCTCGACCACAGTACGAACAATCGACATGGAAATGCAAGAAGATTCCGACACATTATCGCAAATTAGCAGGCTTCTTGCCCAAGTGAAAGGCCTGTATCCCCAGGTCAGAGAAGACATTGTTGGCCTGGAAGAAAGGGTCATGGATGTACGCGAGATGCTGCTGCTTGGTCGTCATGTTGAAGCATCAAGCCATGCTCCAGCCAAACAAAGTCTTTCTACCGGCAAAGATACCACGTCGATATGCGCGAGCGACACTTTGCCACATTCGCTCGATGCAGAAGCATTTCTTGACACCATCAAGGGCGTTACCCGGGAGCACGTCTATTGGAAAGAGGGTGAAAAAAATGCTGCTAACACAAAACCCTCCCCATGGTGGGGGCGCTTGAAGACACGTCTGTGTTTGCAGTGGGTCAGAGGAAGAAAGCAAAAAGTGGTTTTGATGTAATTAGGGAGCACGGATAGGATTACACATGGAGAGAGAGGAAGAAGAAGAAGAAGAATGAAATTAAGATGCACAGAACTAGCAATCCCTAGCAAGGTATACAGGGTATCAATGTCATGCTAAAACGCCGTCAATCACACAAACTCTTACGCTGCAGCCGAAGCAACTTTTGGTGTCTCCTTTTCCTTTTCGCGTCTTTGCGATCCTTTTCTTCGTCTTCGCTCGGGCTTGTAAAAATCGTTGAAGTTGATGTTGACGGCCAACATCTTCAGCTCGCCATCAGGAGAATGCACCAAATCACCCAAGAGAATACTGATCCGCGCCTTGAAATCGTCCGTCAGGTTCCCCAGGCGCTTCTGAAGTGCCGGCAGTACGTCATCCTCGGCAGACCCAGCCATGCCCATCTTCAACAGTGGTGGTGGGAAAGACGAATCGGGATCCTGGTTAGTGGATGCGGCGCGCGACCGCGAAACAGAGTCCGAGGATGAGCCACCATGCATGTCCTTCTCAGAAAGACCCCATCTACCGGCTGCGGTTCGTGTCTCGATCTTGGCAGCATGTTCCTGTCTTCGAGTGAACTCTGCGACTGAGCAAGAGTAGAGGCCGTCTACCGCGTCCTTGTATGCCAGCATAGTCTTGAGCAACTCGTGCAATTGCCCCGTGAAATCTATGCTAGAGCTTCCAAGGAGACCTTTCCTGGTGATGTTGTTGAGGTACTTTGCGTGGGCTTCAATCATGTCGTCCAGGGTACTCTCTGGCTTATTCAGTGCTCTCTGCAGATCGATCCATGAGGATTCAATGACTTCAAAGAGAATGTAGTGCTGTAACTGGTTGACGAAGTGGATCATTTCTGCCATTGCACACCGGGCTTTTTTCCAGTCCGACCCCATCTTGTCAGATACAGTACCCAGAACACCACGAGCACCAGTCATGCAGCGACGCCACGTAGAGCCGAGAGCAAATTCGACACGCTTCACTCTCCATAGGAAGTTGAAGACTTTTAGATATTGCTTGGAGCCGAAGGGAGTCACGATGACGTCTACGGGTGCATCGATTTTGTACTCGAGTGTAAAGACGTCCCACCCAATTTCACCATGCGAAAGTTCCAACATGCGGGAGTCAAGTCGGCGAAGAACGTCTGATGTGTCGAACTGGGCATTGGAGTTTCTGACGGCATGTTCGAGTTGTGCGGTGAGCGTGTGTCGATACTGGGTGTTGGCTGGGCGGTCGAGGTTGGAAGATAGAGACTCCATGAGGACAGCTATGAAGTCGCCTGCACCAAGCAGCATGTACTTCTTCAGCGCTTGCAAGTGGTCAAACAGCTTGAACTTGTTTGCCATGAGGTCAATAAGGCGGGCCATGGTGGTTTTATAGGCGTCGCCAATGGACCTCTCCAGGTTGGCGGTGTCACCATATTGCAGCTCTTTGGAAGCTTCTTTGGAATACGTGTCAACCCAGGCAGCATCTCCACAGCCGTAGCGAATAAAGTTGAGCGTCTTGCCAATCAGAAAGACCTTCTTGGCAAAGTCCTCTGTAACAACTGTGGGGACCATCTTGTCATTCAGCCTGTACTTGTCTTCCCACACACTTGTGGCGCCGCCCTTGCCCTCGTTACCGTTGGCTTCGATGATCTCGTCTTCGCTCTGCTCCGAGACAAAGAACTCTCCGAAGGGATCGGCGAGCTCACCATCGTAAACCCATTGCCTGAGCATGTCGTAGAATGGGCGGGTGACATCGGAGAGGAGGCGCTCGGCAAAGCTCATCACATAGGGGTCTCCGTGGTTGAGTGAGAAGGAGTGGATGAGGGTAATCAGCTCGCCACCCTTCTTGGTCTTTGATTCTTCGACCATCAGACTCATGAGGCGCAGGCCCATGGTCGGCTCTCTGATCCATATGACGCATCGTTTGAGCGTGACGCCGGCCTTGCCCACGCCCTGGTGCGCCGAACCCTCGCCCGACTGAGCCAGGGCTCTCTTGATCTGGCCTTCCAGCGTGGCGACTAGGCCCAGGTACGCGCGCAGCTCCTTGGCCAAGGCGGCGCGGAAACTCTGCTCGATCAGGCCGCCATTGCTTGCCTCGACAAACTCAGCCAGGCCCTTGTACAGTATGGCAGGCTCGGCGAGGGTGTGCAGCAGGCCGACGATGGGCACGGGCAGGGTGGGTGGGAGCTTGAGGGCGGTCGACGATGGGAAGGCGAGATTGGCCGACGAGTAGCCCTGCAGGGTGAAGGGGAGCTCGCGCAGCAGCGTCGGCTCGGACGGGCCCATGTCAACCTTTTCGGCATGGCTTCGGCTGGCGTGCTGCTCCTTGGTCGTGTCCTGCGAGCGCCGGTCGCGGCGCTTGTCGGGCTTCTCGGCGATGGACGGGGGGCGCGTCGAGGCCTTGGGCGAGCCGGCATTGACTGGCACCTGGGCGAGGCCGGGCTTTGCAAAGGCGTCCTGGAAGGCGGCGGCCGAGGCGCGCTTGGAAGGCGTCGTGGGCTCGCGGGGGAAGCTGCGGGGATCCTGGCGGACGGGCGCGTCGGGCACAGGCTCGCCCTTTTCCGACAGCTTGTAGAGGAAGTAGAGCATGCGCCATTTCTGGTCCAGGACCTCCTGCGTCTCGAGGCGCGAGAGGAGGTTGTGCAGACGAGCGCTCTTGTGCTGGTCATTCCGCGGGCCCGCGACTGCGATGTTGTTAGCCCAATGCTCGCAGAGGCGTGGCGGCGGCTGCTGCTGCTGCTGCTACTGATGTTGCTTCTGCCGCTGCTGCTGCTGCTGCTGTAGTTGGCGTGGTGGTCCTCACCCTTGCGCTCCATCAGGCTGGCGATATGATGCATGTCCGGCACCAGCGAGGGGTCGCCTGCCGACGTGAGCTCGTCAATGGCAAAGTCAAAGGCATCTTCAAAGCGCTGGTTGGCCGTCTCGTCGTCGTCGTTGGGGTCCTCGGGCACGATGCGCACCAGCAGCTCGTTCAACGCGTGCTCGACGCGGTCACGGCGGAGTGTAGCCATGTTAGGACGCGTTGTGCTTGCCGGCGGCGTGTTGTCGACTCGCCCAACGCCGCGGGGTCGGCGCCCGTGCACCTGCACCTGCGCCACTGCGCCTGCGCCACTGCACCCGCGCCACACTTTCGCCTTCCCTTTCGCGCTTGCTTGCACTGGTGCTGCCCTCACCGCTGTGCGACCCACGGCCTCGTCACGTGTTCCTTTGCAACGACAATCTCCGCGCTGCGTCATCCTCCACATCAGATACTAACAACAGTGGCGCTTCTTGCGGCACTCTGCCTGTTCTACCTCTGCCCTCGGATCGAGTCCGTATTCCGCACACCACTAGTGCGCGGCTATAGTTGCCGTGTGTTATACGGACCAAAGCAATCTACAACCCTCGAAGCAACCAGCCTAATGCCGTGCAATCATCAACCTAATCTATCAACAAGGTGCTTCCCGGTCCATGGTCTTGTACAACCCCTCGGCACAGATCCATCGTACCTGGTCCACCTATGACACAACATGCCTCGAGGGAGGTGTGGGACGCTTGCTGACCAAAAAAAGAAAAAAGGAGAAAATGTGTCTTAGAAGCCCTCCTTTCACGTGGGGAACGGAGACTTGCATTGCTGAACAACCTGTGTGGGCTACCCGATCTGCACAGTCAAAACATGGCTGTACAAGAATTCGTCTTTCCTGAATCTTCTACCACGCTACTGTGGTGTCTTGCAGCATTATCTTATCTACAGCTCCATCAAGATCCTCGGCGTCTCTTTAGTGGATTTGCCTAGTCGCTTTGGGTCTCTTGATGTTTGTGACCGTGGGCTTGTAACGCAAAAACACCATCGACCCGTTCACCCGCTTCTTTCCTGTACGACTAGCAATGTTGCATCATTCCCGCCCGTTGCCTACGTCACACGGGGTCAAACCAACGGCAGTGGGAAAACTCCCTTCACCAAGGGCCTGGTACGTGTATGGAAGCTAGGTATATGGAGGAAAACAGTGTAACGGCGTGGATCCTCAAAAATTGGACCACAAAGCCTGTACTATCCCTTTGTACAAAAATTTGCGTCAACATTTGAGTTGCCACACAACCATATTCCTGCTTGTACTGGTTTACAAGGCGGCTGTACACCTTGAAAAGAAACGCGACTCAGCAGCAAGCAACATCACAATCAGAAAAGCAACAATGTTCGACTTCACTATTTTACAGCTTCCACGGCAAATTGTCCAAGAAAGGCTGCGGCCAAGCAAGCTCGAGTCATACCCTCAACAACAAGAAGACATGTACGAACTTTGCGATCTAGCCAGAGCTGTGTGTTCGCCTTCCACACACGTCGACCGTCGGTCTTCAACCAGCTCAAACGTAACGACATCCACGTGCACCTGCATTGGTGCCTCAACGATAGCGATTCAACGGCAGAAACCAGAGACCTCACGATTCTCCCATCTCCCGACCTTCTCTTCGCCACGTTCCTACGACAAGGTTCCTCCTTCAATCTCTTACCTCGACCTGCGTGGCCCGGCCCACAGAATGTACCGTTATTGAGGACGCTGTACTTGGACGTTCAATTCAGCCAATTTGGTTCAATTTGGGCTTAAATGACAAATTGCAATTGGTCAAACTACACTCAACCAAACTACAAGACAATAACGCCAGAAGAATACTTTTCACATTTTGCGTACAAAGCCCGACATGCAAGCTTCTACGTTTCGCGCCGTGGCAGCTTTACCAGAGCAGAGTTCGTGGAGATCGTTGTTGGATACAAGACTGCTGGAAACAAGTAGCACCATAGTAAAACATAACCCGACTGAACCAGGGCAGAAAGAAAAGGACAAGAGAAGGGGGAGAGACCGTTACGCCGTCGCTTGATGTTCATACCAAAAAAAAACATGACCTCGTTCAATAAGAACACCAAACACCGTTGCATTTTGTGATGTCGTTGGCTCACTCATCGGTATTGGCCGCACGGGTTGCGGACAACGACTGTCCTGCCAGTATTGCCTCTCGGTCCCGTCGCATGCCTTCGAGTACACCAACAAGCCCGCCCTCGCGCATGCGTTCAAGCACAACTTTCATACCCTCGCGCGCATTGGGCTGGCTTCGCTGGGCCCGTGTGAGGCCAATTTTCTCGATGTTTCGTTGCAGCGTCGCAGTGCCCCAGCTTCGCAAGAGCCCCATCTTCTGTGGTTGATCCTCATCGGCTGCGCCCTCCCTGGCAGCCTCGCGCTTCTTCTTCCAAGTTTCGCCAATATGACTGTGCAATGTGACAGAGCTCTTCACCTCTGTGGTCTCGCCTATGTCTTCCACCTTGACACCAGTGCCTTTGCTGTTGAAATTGATGAAGCTGTGATGGCGGGCAGCACCATCCACGCCTTTCCGAGCCTTGGCGTCGTCAGGCAACAGCGACAAAGGACGCTGGAATCTCTGCCTCTCAATCACCGAGAGAACTCCTGTCCACTCCAGATTACGGGATTCGGTGTCCATCCATCCTTCCTTGATGTCCACAACCGACTTTTCAAGAATGTAAGACTGCGTGTCGCCGCCGGCCGAGGCGCCCAAGAGGGAGCGGGGGACGAGCTTGAGGACTGCAGAAGGAAGCTTTGAGCGCTTCAAGTGTAGGCGTATAGTTGTCAGCCGCTGAGTCTCGGGATCGTAGGTACGTGCAATGGTGTCGGTGGAGAGCACGTGCGTCGAGTAGGGATTGGGATAGCGGAGGAAATAGGCAAGCGAGACGGCCGAGAAAGGGTACGAGTATGTTTCGTTGGACGAATAGAACTTGACCATTTTGACGTCCTGCTCGGGAGCTATGTCGGAATCGGCGTGGTTCTGCGGACAAGCAGAGGGTGAGCGGAGTAGGGTGGTTGGTTGGTAGGTAGGAGCTCAAAGCAGCCTGTAGCGCGCGGTGGTCTATCTCAAGTAGCGAAGTGGCATGGTCAAGCGTGTCCAATTGCAAACACACAATTGGAAACGCTGTTGAGGCGCACAAAGAGCGGGCGGGGGAGGTGTCGAGATGGTGGTGTGACGACAAGCGGCAGAAACATCGGGAGCTCTGGCTCCGCTTCCACTCTCTCGATCAGTTTTGCCTCTCATGATCGGCGCCGCTGCGCGTGAACCACCGACGTGTGGCTGCAGCGTGGCGCAGTGCGGGGCAATTGTGGCCGTGCAGGCCCTCCAATTGAGTCAGCGGGGAAAGCACCTTTGCCTCACCACACACGCATTGCTTTCGACACCCTCGTGACAGCACCCGCCCTGCACTCCTGGCCACGTTAGCATCATGACTGAGCCTGAACCGCCCGCTGTGGCTGCTCTCTCGCTCTCCGAAACAGCCACGCAGCCCGTCTCCAAGGCCACCGAACAAGAGATCAACCCATGGGATGTACAGGCCGCAGTAGACGAAGACGGAAACGTCAAGGAATTCGACTATGTCAAGATCTCGGAGCAGTGGGCCACCAAGCTCATAGACCAGGATATCCTTCAACGTTTCGAGCGCGTCACAGGCCACAAGCCGCATCGCTGGCTGCGGCGAGGGCTCTTCTTCTCCCACCGGGACCTCGACTTGATTCTCGACACATATGAGCGTGGTGAAGACTTTCTGCTGTACACCGGCCGCGGACCCAGTAGCGATGCCATGCATATTGGCCACACCATCCCTTTTGAGTTCACCAAGTGGTTGCAGGATGTTTTCGACGTACCACTGGTCATCATGTTGACCGACGACGAGAAGTTCCTTTTCAAAGAAAAACTGAAGCAGGAAGAGGTCTACGAATTCGCTCGACAAAACGCCAAGGACATCATCTCGATTGGCTTCGATGTCAAGAAAACATTCATGTACATCGACTCGGAGTTCTTTACTTCGGGCTACAACAGACACTTCAATCTCAACACAACCGAGTTTGAGAAGCTCATCACAAACAACCAAGTTCGTGGCGCATTCGGTTTCCACGGCTCCACCAACATTGGCAGCAACGCATTCGCCGCAAAGCAATGTGTGGCTGCGTTTGCGTCGTCATATCCCTTCATCTGGGGCGAGGATCATAAGACCTATCATCGATCAAAGAAGCTTGCTGCTATACCCTGTCTTATTCCCTGTGCCATAGACCAGGATCCATACTTCCGCCTTGTTCGCGAAAACTGCAACCGCATGGAAAATCCTTCACCCAAGCCAGCGCTCATCCACTCAAAGTTTCTAACAGCATTGCAAGGCGCCGGTGGCAAGATGAGCGCATCTAATGCCAACTCCGCCATTTTCATGAGCGACACTGCAAAACAAGTGAAGAACAAAATCAACACCAAGGCTTTCTCCGGTGGCCAAGAAACCCTAGAGCTGCATCGTGAAAAGGGAGGAAACCCTGACATCGACGTGCCCTACCAATATATCGCTTATTTTGAGGACGATGACGAGAAACTCAAGAAGCTAGCTGAAGACTATCGTAAAGGCGAGCTTCTGACTGGTGAGATGAAGAAGGAGTGCATCGAGACTATGACGGCATACACCAAGAAGTTCCAAGAAGCAAGGGCAAGCGTCACCGATGAGGTATTGGAGGAATTTATCCGCCCGCGAAAGCTAGAGTGGAAGGGGAATCCGAACCCTACCAAGCCCAAGTTAGAGCAGTCAAAGGAAAATGCCGAAGGCGGGCCAATGTTGGATGCTGACGGCAAGTCAATGACCAAGAACGCTATGAAGAAGGCCGCCAAAATGGCCGAGGTAGAGCGCAAAAAGAAAGAAAAGGAGGCAGCGGCGGCGGCGGCGAAACAGTAGGGTATCTGGCAGAGTCAAGAACCAATTGAAGCAGCAATGTGGTAGCAATATCATTGGCGAAATCGTATTACAGCGTCACGGGAGATATGGATAGATATCGCACCGATTGTTAGTCCGCAGACGTATACTAACGTCGTATACATGCATTGACAATGCCTCATCTACCTTGTCGTCAAGTCTAGCAATTACGATGCAACCCCATGCGCATATTTTGTATCTTGGTCTGCGTGCCCGAGTAGCTACATGATGATCCGGAAGACGGGTGAGTATTCTGCGTGTTCCATGAATAACTGACAATTGGGAGCCACCGTGAAACTTGAATCTACTCTACTGAGCCTATGGGACCACCCAGCGCGTCTACCGTACTGTACTAGTAGCATAGAACGAGTTTTAGACTATAGTCCAGACTATAGTTCAGTAATGACAGCAATTGGTAAAGTTTATAATCCTGATAGCTACGTGTAGTATACTATACCTCATTGAGCCTACCTCCTACTTATTTGAAGATAATATAGCTGGAAAGAGTAAAACATAAAAGTATATAACGTATGGGGCAAGCGAGCGCCGCAGGCAAGCAAGCGCCGCACCCCACTAAACCTGCGCACCTCTATAAGTCTGTAGTTCTACCACAATTTATTTATTTTACTATATATTAACAAAATAGATTAAGCAGTGCTTAAAGTATCTTTCTTGCACGTGCGCGAGTTATGGCTAGTCTTTCTACACCTACTATAGCGTGTAAGAGGCTACGCCTAAAGTGTGTGTGTGATCGAGTATATCTATACGACTACCTAGACTTCAAGAAGCTTGAAGTCTTGTTACTGCCTTTTTGGCTATGGATGGCGTAAGTAGTCGTACGCTCGGCCCGTTGGGCCCGCCCATTACATAGCGCGCTAAAGCCTAGCGGCTAACACCTAATCGCTCTTCTCCTTAACGCTCTTTATAAGCAATCTGCTAATTAGCCTTACGCTAAGTAAGTAAATCCTCTCTAGCTTCCTTTATTAGCACTCCTTGCTTCTATATCCACTTCTTCTTACGCTACCTACGCTTTATTGCTACCTTATTAGCTCTCTTAAGGCTAGTAATTTAATTGCGTATTAGCTTAGCTAAGAGTATTATAACCTTAGCCCTCTTCTTTAGGTAGATAGAATAGCTAATGCACACTAATAGCAAAGATAAGGAAGATAGCAACACTACTTAGGGTAGTAGTAGAAGTGCCTCTAACTCTAAGAAGAAGAACTATGTAACGGGCTGAACGCCCTTTGAATAGCTCCTCGATGGAATCTCGGTCAAGCAGCAGACGCCAGGTCTTACTCTGCAACCCAGCATCTGTGCGAGGCCTGAGCGGCGCCCAGACGACGCGCTCAGACACTCGGTGCAACCTTTCTCCGACAAGTAAATAAACACCACGCAAGTAGACTCTATAGCTCTCTATCGAATACAACCTCTTGTATACCTCGCGATTGCTCCCCGGAGCGCAGCCCCTTACACACTAAGTTTACAAAGCTTAGTAACAAGACAGCATTTACTTATATTAACTTAAACCTAACCTAGGCTATGTAGGAGGATTTGAGAGTAGACATAATCTAAGGAAGCGTCTTAGTAGACAATAAAGATAATAAGAACTACACCTTAGTAATAGAAGGCTGTTAAGAGTAAGTCTTGAGTGGGAACAATATAAAGCTCCTGGTGTCAAGGCTCTTGGGTTGGTTTTCGCGGATGAAGCGTCAGAGATATGAACAAGGGTTTAGCAGTATACAAACTGTATTGTACTACTGTACTCGTAACTATTGAGTTGAACACATCGAGCCATAAGGGTTTAATGCGTCCGCTATATACTAAGTGAATGAAGTGATCGTGTACGATCAATAAAGTGATCGTGTACGATCATAGTCCTATGCTGATCTTGATTGGCTGAAGAAGGTGATCGTGTACGATCAATAAAGTGATCGTGTACGATCATGCCGTGATTGGCTGTTCGGCTAACTGATCGTTGACGATCAGTCACGTGACTGCGGCGTGGCATGTAGGATTGCGGCGTCGTGCTTCTCCTTCGCATCCTTCCACTGATTCTCTGCCCTTGCTCTGGCTTCCTTGTTTGCCTAGTAGTCACTGGCCGTAACAGTAACCTACGTAAGCTTAAAGCTTAATTAACACTAATACGTAATTAGGTTTAGTAGCATAAGAGCTCTTTGCTAGCATTAATTATTATAGCAATTAACTAGTAAGGAGTTAAACGCAGCCCCTTAGGCTTTGCCATTTGTGGAGGTGTGGTGTAGAACTGCGATGTCTTCTTAGTAGAGGGAACAGAACTATAGGCTCTTCCCCTTCCCATAGGCTATAGGAGAGGGGAGAGGGAGTAAAATATATGTAGTTAGTTCTTTGAGCAAGAGATTTTTCTAAGAGATATTATTAATTAATTTTTTCCATAGACTTAACTATTAATTTATGTTCCTTCTTAAAGGTAAGTAGTGCTTAGTTAGCACAAGGGTCATGGTGACCCTGTGCCTCGGCACACTATATCTTAGTAAGATATAACTTCGGCTTCAAACTTCGTATAACGTATGTGGCAAGCGAGCGCCGCAGGCAAGCGAGCGCCGCACCTCACCAAACCTGCGCACCTCTCCTATCTCAACGAACGATAGCTTAATATAGCGCTACTCTTTTAGCTTTAAATAAAGTAGATATTTAGCTTACTATTTCTTCTATTAATCTCTATTAAATATAAAGTAATTATTGCACTACTGCTATGTATAACGTGTTTAAACAAACAATCTACTACTAACACGCTAGTATACCTACCTAACGTAGTTACTAGGCTAACTTGAAGAAGCCTACTAAGCTAGAAGAGAAGGTAATAGTTAATTATATACTTAATCTTAATTTACGTAGATTTGCGCCTACGTATGCTGCTATGCGCAATATAGCTAATAAGCTACTAGCTACGCGCAGCGCTAGCTAGGTTGGGTAAAAGTAGCTAGCTAATTTTGTTAAGCGTATAGATAGTTTATAACGCGTTTTAATTAAGCGTATAATAGGTAGAAAGCTCTATATAAAGATCTAATCCTAATTAAGAGCTAGTTTAAGCTTATAGAGTAGATAAAGGCTAAGTATAGTATTTATAATAAGAACATCTACAACTTTAATAAAGCTAGCTTTATAACAAGTAAGATTGCAACTTAGCTAGTTATAATAGTATTAAAAAGAAGAGGCTAGCTAAAGGTAGTTAAGCTAGGCAATTATAGGTAGGTGACGCTAATTGTAGCGATTAACGCAGCTAGCTAGATAGTTCTACTATTCCTTATCTTTACTAGCAAATATTACCTATCCGCTTAGTACAAGGAAGCAGAGATCTTACGCGACTAGGCGATTATAGTTAGTAATAATAGCTAGATAAATAACAAGCTAAGTATTGCCTAGCTAAAGCACTTTAATGCTTATATAAAGACTTGCGTTATTAGCACACGTTGCCTGCTTATTCTTAATAGCTATAAGAGCTACTAGTCTCTTAAGTTTTAAGAGCTTTATAAGGAGAATAATATCTACACGCTTTATATACTGCTACATTCCTCTTACCTACTTTAACCTCTTAACGTTAGCTACTTCTCGCTATTAAAGCGCGCGTATAGCTATAAGGTAGAGAGCCTAATACGTAACTATATTAACTATATTACTAAGCTTAAGTTCCTACTAGCGTTTAAGGTAGCCTTTAATTGATCCTTTACACTAGCTAATATCTGCTTAGCCTTTTAAGGTACAGGCCTTGTTCCTCTCTAGCTAGACGCTATTCTATTAAAGCTAGACATAAAGCTACGCACGCCTACTTCTCTAGTAGCTACTGTTATAGAGGCTCCTTAGCAGGCTTATACCCTAAGTAACCTACGCAAGCTTAAAGCTTAATTAACGCTAATACGTAATTAGGTTTAGCAGCATAAGAGCTTTTTACTAGCATTAATTATTATAGCAATTAACTAGCTAAAGAAGAAGGCTAAGGTTATAATGCTCTTAGCTAAGCTAATGCGCGATTAGATAGCTAGCCTTAAGAGAGCTAATAAGGTAGCAATAAAGCGTAGGTAGCGTAAAAAGAAGTAGATATAGAAGCAAGGAGTGCTAATAAAGGGAGCTAGAGAGGATCTACTTACTTAGCGTAAGGCTAATTAGCAGATTGCTTATAAAGAGCGTTAAGGAGGAGAGCAATTAGGTGTTAGCTGCTAGGCTTTAGCGCGCTATAGTAGGTGTAGAGAGACTAGCTATAACTTGCGCACGTGCAAGAAAGATACTTTAGGTACTACTTAATCTATTTTATTAATATATAGTAAAATAAATAAATTGTAGTGCAACTATAGACTTATAGAGGTGCGTAGGTTTGGTGGGGTGCGGCGCTCGCTTGCCACATACGCAGAGATGTCAACAATCAAGCTCATCAAGCCGAGCTAACGCGATATAGTAATGATTAGGCCTAAAAAAGCTAGCCTATTACTGTATCAAGTTAGCTCGGCTTGATGAGCTTGATTGTTGACATCTCTGCACATACGTTAAGTAGGAATTAATAGAATCGCGTACACATGAAATCATCCATCGCAATGATGTCTAGATAACTAAAATACTAAGTAGCCTTTCGTTGAGTCGCTTGGTGGGCATGTGAAGCACACAGCCAGCATCAAAATCCGTTGTTGGCCTGGATGCAGTCCATCACTGGCAAATGACTATGATCAATAAATACGACGACAAGATAAGCGTGGCTACAAAGCTTGACACGGAGCTCTAAACGACATATTGGTAGTAAACCGTGCTAAGTATGGCCAAGCCCTGGCATACTGTCTGAAGCGGCGGTGTAGAGAAACTAGTAGTGGCTAGTGTGTACCTACGTATGTAGGTACTACATGGGTCATGGCGGATGCAGTCTGTAGTGGCTGACATTGCTGACTGGTCTTCGGACGTTAGAAATTAGCAAACTAGTAGTGGTAATTAAACGAGCTACTTAAAAGACTATGAGACGAGCACCAAAACAGATGGTCTAGCAGGCTTCGTACCATTGCCTAACCGAATTGGGCGAATTGCCCCTTGTAGCGCTTCCCCATGATGCTGACCCTCTGACATGTGCCAAGTGTAAGGAGATGAATCCACAGATATGTACAGCTACGCAGGGTGCACCGCCCGGCCAGTGAATGTCACCACACGACGTGTCTTGGTATTCATCTCGCTAATTTGGCGCCGGCACGTCTCGGGCTCGTGTACATAGCAACAGTAGCCAGTCCGTAGTCCAATGCGGGTAATAATGCATAAGCGTATCTCGGTACCTCTACGGGTCTCCTGGAAGCAGTACTTAAGACAAGCTTGCATCCATTCACTCCAATACCATACCATCCAGACCTAATCACAACGACAACCAAGTTCTAATTTTCAACATGCACGCCAGCTTCCTCGTCGCTCTTGCCCTTGGTGGCACTGCTGTCTCTGCAGCGTGTGACCCGTACTGCAACTTCGCAGCAAGCTACGACTGCTCGCAAAATGGCGGCCACCACTTCACCAAGGATCAAATGATCTCCATACTTGTCAATGCGGACAGATCTGGAGCCCCCTACGAAGTATGGGCAGACAACCTTGCTACGACGTACTGCAGCGGCGTGGAATACGGAGATATGCCTCTTTGGACCGTAAGTTGTTCCCTCAAAGAGACCAGCGTGGCTTTGACTCTCAATCGGTATACTGACTCTGATGTTTGCAGGTGGGGCTTCCAGACGGAGCAGGCACTGTTTTCTATGCTTTGGCTAGTAACGGAACTTTTTACTTTTGCGGCAGCCAGTCAGGAACAGCGTCATCAGGCTGGCCCGACTCATGCCACGAGAACTCAACAAACTGATACGACTTTGAGCATGCTCTCACTTAGGACAAAGGTTGAATTTAAGATAGCCTTGTATATATAATGCACAGTAAATAGTGGTTAACGCAATTGTATACATGCCTTTGGAAATTATGCCGTCTATGAAAAACTACATTGGTGTTGAAGTGAACCTGAGCGATGGCTTACGTTAGCAAAGGGGACAACCCCTTGGCCTGAAATCCGGTCGTTTTGTCACATGCTCTCCAAACCTGACAACAGCACATGCCACGGGATATAAACAGAGATGGAAATGCTTGATTGAGAGAATGCTTGATTGGAACAAAAGTATCCTATCTAGGAACAAGCAAACAAAATCCAGAGTATGAAGAATTGGTCGTTAATTCGTTGCAGAAATTTCCTCCCATCAAAACATTAGTTAGTAGACATATCTCCATCCACGTTCTACACCTGAGTGCTCGGACCAACCCTCATCTTCGTCCAGCTTCTTGTTCAGCTGGATAGCGCGCCACTTGACCAGGCTTGATGAGACAAAGACAAGAAGGCATCCTACTAGGATCAAGCCACCGCCCAGTCTGTAGAAAGGTTCTTGGGAAGTGGGAAAGAAGTAAGGGCTGAACCAATGGCTGACCTGGCTGATGCAATTGGCAATAGCAATGAGAGCTGCTTTCTTGCTGCGAGGAGCTGGCACGAGCGTGGTTTCCCAACTCAATTGAAGATTGAGGCCGGAGTAGGTACCGCTGATGAGGAGAATGAGGCCAAAGTAGCGGGCGCCAATGTTGAGTGTTCCAATGAGCATGCTGCAGCCAGCTGCGCTCATGAGGATAGGGATAATGACGTGGTAGTAAGACTCTTGGAAGCGACCAGAAGAGTATGCGAGAGCACATGCAACTCCGTAGGCGATGGCGTAAGGAGGGGCCTGGACGAGGTACGTGGTAAGTTTGTCGAACTTGAATGTTTTCATAATCTGTAAATTGGCATGGTTAGTTGCGAGAAGTGCAAACGGCCATGCAGGTACGGGACTTACGGATGGGAGGAAATCTTTGAAACTTTGCGCAGTGACGAGGGCGAAATGCATCAGGCAGAAGAACCAAGTAAATGGGTCTTTGGCGGCTTGCTTGAGCCCATCCCATGTTCCACCCACTACCTCGTCGTGACCACCATTGGAAACCTGGACTCGGTATTGAGCCATTTCCGACTCTTCCTTTGACAGCCATCTCGTGTTGTGTGGCCATGATGGAAGCAGAAAGTAGGCGACACTTGCTACAAGAATGGAGACGGCTCCTTCAATGATGAAGAACCATTGCCACGCATGCAAGCTAAGAATGTTATCCATGTTCTCTAGGATGGCTGCGGCCAAGAAACCGGACAAGATGTTGGATATGGTGTTTCCTGCATGCCAGATGGCCATGCGCATTGGGTTCTCTTCTTTGGTGTACCACGACGAAGTCACTAGGTTTTGTTATTATCATAATTTTTTTTGGACAGTGTCCGACAGAGTGGAGAACTTACTCAGCGTAATTCCAGGGAAAAAAGGGGCCTCAGACAGGCCGATAAAGAAGCGGCATACAGCAAAACCAGCGCCATTGGTCATAGCCGGCATACAGATGGTTCCAATACTCCAAGCCATCATCATGGATGGCAGGAGCCATCTTGGATCGGCTTTGGCAAGCCAGAGATTTCCTGGAAGCTGGCCAACAAGATAACCAACGTAGAAGGTCGAGATACCCGTGTTCCAGATGGTGTCTGTCATGTTGAGGTCTTCTTGAAGGCCAGCAAGGCGTGCGTTGGACACATTGATACGGTCGAGGTAACTGAGTAGGAGGTCAGTCTTGTTGGTGGACAGGGCAGGGGTTTGGTGAGTAGAGTCTTACTTCATGAGGAACATGAGAGTGATGCAGGGCATGAGTCGCCAATCGAGCTTCTTGACGAGCTGCTTGTTCAATGCAGCCATCTGCTCTTCACTCAAGTGGCGCAGCGTTTCGAAGCGGGCCTGGATCTGCTGGGGCGTAATCTGAGCAGTGCGCTCGGCCACGACCTCCTTGAAGTCGGCACCGGCGCCCTTCTCGTCGATCATGTCCACGGTATGTTTTTCCGTCATCTTGCTCTACGACGTTGGTGATCGAGTGCAAGAAAGGTGTTTGCCAAAGAAGAGCGGTGGCAGTGGGGCAGTGGGGCAGTGCCGACTTGACAGTGGTGCGCAGCATTGTTATATACACTTTGCTGGCCTGGAAGAGGCGTCAAGGCAGAGTCGGCCAGACCTTCCCTGGACAAACCTTGGTGGTGAATCCCCAGACACTAAGCATGCGGGGCCCCGGAGCTAACGAAGGACGGCCATGGCCAAGACTGTGCCCAGCACGCGCTCAGCATCCGCCCGGCAATTGTAACCGTTTAGACCAAGACGTTGACATTCAGGCGGCCACCACCCTGGAGAGCGAGTCAGAGTCGCTGTGCTCCCGCGGAAAGTCAGACAGTGCTGCCGCCGCGGATAGAGCAGACTGGCCTTGCTACCCCGCCGCCATGGCGTGATGTTGCTGCGGGAGCCTGCCCTGGGGATACTTGGTGATGCCGCCACACGGGCGCCATGGTGTTGTTTTGATGCTTTTGATACGCGCCCACAGGTGGGTATCGTACTGTTTCCAGGTAATGTAACAAACACATTAGCGAGCTTGATAGGCTCCTGCGACCTGGCTGCCGGGTTCACGCACACGCATGCTTTGAGCAGAATCGAGCTCCTGCACTGCGCTTGACCGGCGGAGGCTTGGCATCCCCAACGCCAAGCCCACCCACCCAGTCCGTTTTCTGTCACATGGTTGCCCGACGACTCAAGCCGACCTCTTCTTTTCACGTGACATCACCCACAGCACACACGACACGCATTGCCACGCATTGCCACGCAACGCTCAAGCAGCCATCAGAATGCAACAGGAAAGATAATAATTTATTTCATAGGCTCGAAGGCGTCAGCAGATCCGACACCTTCTCGTAAACTGTGAATACAATGCCGCCGCTCAAGACCAGCCTGCCTAGACGCATCGTGCTCCCGCTCCAGAAACCCCGCACGCCTCCCTTCCGCAAGACACTCCGGAAAGCCTCTTTTGTGCTTGCGCCTTGCGCGCTCTGCGCCTGTGTTTTGATAGTGTCGAAAGGCTGTGTGGCATAGACGGTGATGACACCAGCCACAGCGCCCATGCCAAAGGTAGCGGCGCTGTTCTGGGGAAGGTTCTTCCGCCGCGCAAACTCCTTGAGCACATTGTACGATCCCATGCGAACAGCCGATGTAGCGGATTGCTTTGCTGTTGTCGACACCAGACCCCGATACAGCCCGGCAATGCCGTGGGTTTGCACAATGACTCTGGAGGCGTGCAAGCCGCCGCGGTAGCGTTCGCCGCCGCTCTTTGCATTGTCAATCAGAGCCGTCTTGACACGCTCTGTGGGTGTGACTGCAACGATACTCTCCACTGCGCCTGCCAGCATGCCTGCCAGCAGGCCTCGCGCCGGAGAGAGGACCCCGCGCTCGTCAGCAAGGCGGTTGCGGATCGAGTCGAAGGAGAGGAAGCGGACGCCGGCCTTGAAGGCGGTGCCGACAATCAGGGTAGAGCACCCCGTGTAGATGGCGCCGAATCCATTGGTTTTGGCCACTTGGGCAAGAACGGTAAAGGGGTTTTTGGAGCCCGAGGCGCCGACCTGGAGCTGGGCGCGGGTTTTTGCGAATTCGAAGGGATAGGTTGCCGTGGCCTCGACGCCGCCCGCGACCGCACCGGAGAAGAGGGACACAATGGCGGTGGGTGTCTTTTTGCGGTTGGCTGGCTTGGATGTGGTCGAGTTGAGGGTGCGGAACGGCTGTTTGGCGTCAACCGGGGCAGCAGCAGCAGCAGCAGCAACGGACGCGCTCATGGTGGTGGCAATGTGGTGCGTTCAGCGCAAACACTAGCGACTTGGCCATGCTGGGTAGGCTGTCGAGACGGTATATACAGTACTGCGGTGGTTGTGTCGCGTCTGCATCAACACCGCGTCCACGCACGCCCGAGCCCAAGACGGGTGTGGGTGTGGGTGTGGGTGCGGGTACGGGTGCGGGTGCGGACTGCCGGGCACGCACGGGCCACCAGCCTGCCTGCCACTGCTGCCGCGGCATCTGCACGCCTTGGCCTCAGGCACGTCGCTGTCTCTTTGCCATCCATTTGCCACCCGCGGGCCAGCTTTCTCCTCCCGCCCATCTGCAAATCTTCTCTCTTTGCCTTCGACTTCCGCCCACACGTACCCACACTGCCCCATCGTCGGTCGCAGCGGGCGCTGTCATGAGCACAGCTGACCCGGGCAGCCATGCAGCTGAGACGGGCCGGCCACGCAAACGGGCAGCCGAGGCCTGCACCTTCTGCCGTCGGAGAAAGGTTCGTTTGTTTCTCTACGTCTGCCGCGCAGTGGAGCGAGACACTGAAGTCGGCAGATCAAGTGCAGTGCCGAGAAGCCTACGTGTGCGAGTTGCAAGACGCATGGAGCGACGTGCCATTATGAGCCCATAGACGATGCCCACCAGGCATCGAGTCGTCCCCGCAAGGCGCCCCGGCGGGAACGAGCGTCTGAGTCGGCCGCGCCCCCAGCAACGTCGACTCCAGCTGCTGCATCAACAACAACATCGCCAGCCCAGCCGAGTTCCTCGACTCCTCAGAGCGTCTCGCGCATCGTCGTCGCTGCCAATGGCTCCTCCAGCTACCATGGCCGCACGAGCGCTTTGTTCGACGAGGGTCCCCATGATCGCCCTGCGACTGAGGCTCGGCCGCAGATGTCTGATGAGTGGATTGAAAGAGGTCTTGTAGCTGAGGCTGCGCGCCAGCGCCAGCTCGAGACAGTAAACTTCCGCCTTGGAAAGCTCGACTTTGATGGCGTTGAGCCCGAGTTGGGCATGCATCTGCTGTCGTTGCATTGGAACCGACAGCACCACTCCTTTCTGACCACCTATCGTCCCGCCTTCATGCGCGATATGGCCTGTGGCGGTCCCTACTTCTCCAAGCTCCTGCTCAATGCCATTTATTTTGGTGCATCCAAGTTCAGCCCACGCCACGAAGTCCGTCGAGTAGCCGACGACGTGCGCACTGCTGGCTGGCAGTTTCGCGAAAGAGTACGCGAGCTGCTTGGAGGCTCTCTTGACAGAAGCGAAATCACAACGATACAAGCATTGCTCGTCATGACGAATTCGCTCTTCGCCCTAGGTGACGAACGCAGTGCTGCCTGGCTGTATGCTGGCCTGGCCTTTCGCATGATTGTCGATCTGGGTATCCATGTAGACACACCTGAGCTGGCAGGGAGCCGTAGATTGTCTGATGAAGACTACGAAATCCGGAGACGCGTCTTCTGGGCTGCCTTTGGTAAGCATGCTCTTCACGCCCAAAACCACTCTTGCTAAATCAAACGTGCAGTCGTTGACAAGATCCAAAGTCTCTACCAGGGTCGGCCCGTCAGTATCAAAGAGTCAGACACTCTTGTCCCCATCAAATTCCAAGACACATTTGAAGAACTTGAGCATTGGACCCCTTTTGCGTACTCGACGCAGTCAGACGCGGCTTATTTGGGCTCTCCAGCCTACAGCGTTTCTACTTTTCGACATCTCTGCCAACTCTCGGTCATCCTAGGCGACATCCTTAGCACAATCTACACTGAACGAAGCTTCGACTCCAGCCCTGCGGAGCTGTCGTCCAAGCTAGAAAGCATTCATCTAAAGATGACGACATGGCGGAAAAACTTACCTGAGCATCTTGCTGCCGATGCACAGAAGGCTTCCGTGACGCCACCGCCACACGTGCTTAGTTTGCAGTAAGTGCCACACGAGTCAGATGTAATCACTCTGGGGTGCTGACAGACACCATAGTGCTCTTTACAATGTTCTTACAATACTTCTGCATCGCCCATTTGTTGCCGACGGCCACCTCTACAATACTTCACGTGCCATCTCTGTAAACTCCTTCATGTCATGCGCAACAGCCGCGGATGACATAGTAAAGCTCTTACGAGCATACGATAAAGCGTTTAGTGTGCGACGGGCGCCATATCTCATCTCGTATGCAACTTATGTTGCTGCAACCATTCACGCTCGCATTGCCGCCAGACGCGGTCCAGGCTCACATGCCCACAGGAGCCTGGAGACTTGCCTAGCCGTATTCCGCGAAAACCAAGAAACGAATTGGGCTGTCCGACGCGCCAATGCAATTGTTCAAAACGTGATGAAGCGACTGGGGGTTGCATCGCTGAACCCTGGCGATGCTCAAATTGACAGAGACGTTGGCGATCGCAGTCACACCAGCACTCCCAATGCAACAACCGGCAGCGCAATGGGCCGTGAAGCCAGTCTGCAAAGCCTCGACATTGATGGTATCATACAAAGCTTCGTTCGTGAGCGAGAACAGGAAACATTCCATTCAGCGCAAACGGGCCCAACTGGGAACGCGGCTGTATCCAATGCACATGGGCATGTGCAGTCGCAGTGGCAATATGCAACCACGGAGATACCGTCGGCCACATCGCATGCTGGACAGCAAGATGCCAGCAGTATTCCTTACGACAGCAATGGCACGTGGATATTTCAAGGCCAGCAGCAGATATTCGATGAGAACCTCGTGACTGTAGACGATCTACTCTATGGCTTCAATGGTTCAGAGCTAGATAAGTTCCCGATGTTGGATTGGGATGTATGAAGGGCAGTTTGGCTGGGCATCTAGCAAAGGCTGGGCATCTAGCAAAGGCTGGGCATCTAGCAAGGGCCGGGGGATCCACTACCGAAAACCGTGACCACGTGCCGAAGCCGCGGTAGAATCTCGGCATTTCCTTCCCGCGGCTTTGCTCCCTCACAAAAGCTTCCCGCGGGAGTCGGGGCAAGGGTGGGAAGTATCATGCGCTCTGTAATACATTTTACCCGCCTTCCAAGTGTATTATGCGACTTGATGGCAGCCTCTGTCTATCCGAGGAATCCCCGCAGGCATATATGGGGCGCAGCTTTTGCTGGAAAGACGAAATCTGCAATTTTCCCCATAGCATATCGACGAAGACGGTCGTTTTCGTAATTATATACGCCCTTTGTAGATGCTTCGGTCGCTTCACAGACTACCTGTTGCCCAGACGGCGAGGCTCTCGACTGTAACTCATATTCCGCCAATACGCATGCCAGACCTACCAATGGCGTACGAAAGAGCGCCAAAGAGGGTCAGGCGCAGCCTACCCGCCGTTCTCATGCGTGCGGGTACCTCCAAAGGCCTATTCATCCACCGACACGACTTGCCAGCTTCAGAGAAAGACTGGGCAGGTCCTCTACTGGCTGCCATGGGTTCCCAGGGCTCGGATGCTCGACAGATTGATGGTGTGGGAGGCGCAACGTCAACAACGTCCAAAGTGGCGGTGATTTCACCATCGGCCCGGATGGGTGTTGACGTCGACTACACGTTTGTGCAAGTGGCCGTGGGACAAGAGATGGTGGATTTCAGCGGTAATTGTGGAAACATGTGCTCAGGTGTAGGACCATTTGCGCTTCAAGAAGGACTGGTTCGTGCCAGCCCTGGAGAACGCACTGTGAGTTTGCCGTCATAGACTTGAGTCTATAGTGCTGACGTATCGACTTAGCTTGATGTCCGGATATTCAATACCAACACATCGCGGATAATTGTCGATACTGTCCAAGTCGACGAGGACGGCTCATTTCAAGAGGACGGAGACTATGCCATCCCGGGAGTGAAGGGAACGGGTAGCGAAGTGAAGGTTGCCTTTGTCGATCCTGCGGGCAGTATGACTGGAAGCCTATTCCCCACTGGCAGTCGCTGCGACACCATCAACGTGCAGGCCAAAGATGGCACGCAGTTCTCAGTCAAGGCCACTTTGATAGATGCTGCCAACCCTTTTGTTCTGGTAGACGAAAGGACGCTGCCATTGCACCTGAAGACTGGAAGCAAGGAATCAGCAGATTACCTCGAGCATATGGAGTCTATTCGATGTGCTGGCGCTGTAGTCATGGGCCTCGCTCCCAGCATAGAGGCGGCTTCCAAGGTTCGCGGAACACCAAAGTTGGCCATTGTATCGTCGCCTCGACTAGACACAACAGCTGCGAAAGACTCTACTGCCAATGCAGCAGACATTCAGGTTCAGGCCTTCAGCATGGGTAAGCCGCATCCAAGCCTGCAGCTCACGGGTGCAGCATGTCTGGCATCAGCGGTGTGCATCGAAGGAACGGTGGCACATGGACTGGCATCGGATGCCAAGATGCAGTCTTCGTGGCAATCGGCGTCGCCTGAGCGAACGCCGAGTCCATTTTCAGACTCGGATGAGAGCTCATCGGGTCTACTCCCAAGCCGAAGGACGGTATCTCTTTCACATCCGAGCGGATCGATTGATGTGGAGGTTTTGGCGGCAAGCACAGAATCATTTGCTTTTGTCGACCGTTGCATTGTTTCTCGGACGGCGCGGCGGTTGTTCGAAGGCAAGGTGTACTACTATACTAATCAAAACTAAAGCGGGCGGTGTAGTTATGAACAAGGCGTGGACACGCTCGAGGCGTCATGTACTAGTACGTATTTTCAAGAGAGAAATCTATTAGATGTTCTAAGGTACATTTTGTGCAGGTGTGACTATGTAATGTATGTATATTAGATTTGGGCTGATGGAACTCGTGCGAGAGATCACGTCAGCTTAGGTGTACAGCATGGGAACAAGTCGTCAGCCTCGCGGGCTGGCGTTGCAGAGCGAGCGACAGCAATTGCAGCAGCGTAAAAGACATGGCATCGGGCCCCATAACGTCGTCTATCTAACAAGGCGTCGCAAGCCTACAAGGCCATGGCAACAGCGCCAACCACCATGGCGAAGGCGCCGCTGGCAACATTGGCTACGGCTGCGGCACCGGTAAACTGCACGGCGCGGGTCGAGGTGGGTGTGGCACCGGTGGGGTGCACGGTAGCATTTCCAGCCGGGGCAGAGGGAGTGGGCGACATGGCGGTGGCGTTGGCTGGCTTGGAAGAGGCAATGAAGCCATTGCAAAGGCCGTTGTTGCAGCTGTTGTAAGCGCACTGGGCGTCGGTGGTGCAGGCGGCGTTGAAGTTTCCGCACTTGGCGATCAACATGGCGTTGCTCGCCCAGCACTGCACGCCCTCGATGCACTGGCTCGGTTTCACATAGGGGTTGCACTCGGCGCCGAGAGGCAGCGAGCCGGCGGGCGCGGTGACGGTAGATGAGGGAGCAGGCATGGGGCCGGGCGCCGTCGGGCTGGGGGTGATGGTCGCTGAGGCGGCCGAAGAAGACGCCGAAGCCAAAAAGCCGTTGCAGAGGCCTTGGGCGAGGTTGCATGTGTTGAATGCGCATTGCTGATCGCTTTTGCATGCGGCCTGGAAGTTTCCGCACACTGGCTGGAGCATCGAGTTGGTGGCATAGCAGCCGGCGCCGTTGGCACAAGGCGTGCCGCCTGGCGTGCAGTTCTGGCCCAGGGGAATGACCTCTCCGGCAGCCTGCACCGAGCCAAAGAGGCCGGCCGTGGCGAGGGCGAGCAGCGTGTAGTGCATAGCGAACGTGGGCGGAGCGTGCGGCGTGGTGGCGCGAGGGAAACAGAAAAACTAGGCAAAAGCGAGGGGCGGAGAGTGTTGTTGGTGGGCTGGCGATGGGAGGCCATGTGCGGCCATGTCGACGATGCTTTATAGCAGCTCTTTGTTGTTGTTCGTATTACACCGAAGTTTAAGGCGCCGTGCATGGGCGCGCGCTCGGGCCCAGCTGAAATAGCCTTCGCATGACGTGGGTGCGGCATGGACAAATGGGAGCTGGAGTTCGAATACGGTTCCTGTCTGTGCGGCAAAACCCAAAATAGAAGCATTCTGCGTGCGTGTACGTAATGGTGTCGCTGGGGGGCGGTGCACGGACCTCGGGGTGATATTCTCACGTGCCACCCAGGGGCTCGCCACCACGACCACGTCTTGCAAAGCCATAATGCTACACATCCATACTAAGTACTACTACCCGCCTAGTTCTACACAAACGGCAGGCTAATGTAGCTTCCAAACTCACCACCAATGTGCACCTCGTGTGTTCCGCGATTGAGCACGTGTCGGTGCGACCCAAAATTGCTGACGCACCGGTTGCGCCCGCCCACCACCACCCGGATACTCTCGCCAGCTTCAAACTCGATACCCGTCGCCCAGATTCCGATATCCAAACGGACAACATCGCCCGGCTTGACCTTCTCCTCTACCTCGTGAGGATGGAATGGCCAGTTCGGATGCATACTCTTGGACTCGTGGATTGCGCGGTGCGAGGCCCTCATGATGCCGCAAGGGCCTTTGTAGACGACCACTTCTGTAGCCTCTTCCGGCTTGATTTCGCTGAACGACTTTGCCGGAACCCCGTCCCAAGGGATGTTGAGGTTCATCATCTGATGTCCATTCTTGTCAAGCTTTTCCAGCGTAACGTAGACATCCATGTCGTCGTGATCAGCGCACGACATGTACAGGACAGCCTTTGGGATGCCCATGATCCGTGTCGTTTCCGAGAACTTATGAGTGAAGACGAGGCAGTCGTCTGACTCCGAGTCGTACGTCAGCTTTGCGCTTGGGCCCGCCTCTTTACCCAAGCGTAGCTCTTGGTCCTGACTAAGAAAGGCCTGGCGGTATTGAGTTCTTGCGGGCGGGAAGTCTTCTTCGACAATGTTATCGAACGACTGCGGCTCCTTTTTGCCAAACCGCAAAAGCGCCATCCGAACTCGAGGGGTTTTTTCCCATCCATTATCAGCGCCCTTGAGGTAGTGGTCGAAGAAGCTGCCCAGTTCTTCTTTTGCCTGTGGGTTACCCCACAGGTCGTACCATTCCTGCCAAGGGTGCCATCTCAACCATTTATCAGCGCTGTCCACCTCAAGCCATGCTCTGATAGCGCCCATTCCATGCATCGTATTGGTCCACGTGCCAGTGATGTAGGTTGGTACATTGATGCGCTTCATGTCGGGCCTCTTGTCGTTCCACCAAGCATTTGCCAGTGGGTGCTGTTCGAACATCAACCGGAAGCTCTCGATATTCCCGTTTCCATGGAGCATGTGTTTGAGGATGAGCTTGTCGAAGAGGTCTCCCGAGTAAATCCCACCACGTGCAAACTGCTCACGATAAAGATCCCCGCAGCCTTCCCAAGGCGCGATGGCCTTTAGGCTTGGTGGCCGCAGGGCGGCGATGAACCATTGCGCAATTGCCAAGTGTGAATTGCCAGCGAGGCCCACTGAGCCGTTGCACCAATGCAATTTTGCAACATGCTCGATTGCATCGTAGCCGTCCTCGGCTTCCTGCTGGCCCATGACAACCATGGTCCCACCACTATCACCAGAACCGCGCGAGTCAATATTGACAATAGCGTATCCTCTAGGTACCCAATCGGCTGGGTCTGGGGCCTCAAACTTCTCCAAGCCGGAGAGAGCATCCGGAGGAAGACCAAGGTCCCATGGTGTCATGTATCGCAGAGACAGTATGCCGTTGAACTTCTTCCCAAACGGAGACCAGCAGATAAGGGCGGGAACTTTGGAACAATCACCAGACGGGGGCTCCGTGGGCCTTAGGATGTCGGCATAGAGTGTGATGCCATCTCGAGCGGGAATGGCCACGTCGTGTTCCACAAGGATATCGCACGGCAATGCCTTGGCTCCAGGGTGTGAAGGATGTTGCCAGCCTTGGGGAAGCACTTCTGACCGTGGCTTCAGACCTTCATATCCAGCCTCACCAACCTGAGGTGGTGTAATAGCCTCAAGAGGCACCTCAACCCCCTGGACATTCGAGCACGGCTTGTTCTTGTTGACGAGCATAGTGTCGGATGTCGTAGACTTGAGTATGAGACGAAGAAAAGAGATGCAGACAAGTGCAAGTAGATTGATGGGAATTACCTACCCTAGTGAAGGCAGAGGGTCTAGATATACCAGTCCTCAGGCCGGGGTTAGCAGCACTGGGTCATGTCCGACTGCGATGGACCTCATACACACACGCTGCCTCGCTGTCGCGTGTGCTTCCGAAACAAGTCCAACATTGCCTCAATGCAGACTTGCAAACTTGCGTACCAATACCGATGATAGGATGAGAATGAATCATGTTGATAGTCCCGAACCGTGCCGGGATCCCACCATCGGTAACTCTTTTCACCCTGCATTCTATCCCACGGCTGGGTGCAGTTGGCAGCAGATCCCGAACCGAGCCGAACCGAACAAGACCATCTTCAATCATGGGCTCATGGAAACTACAGTACATTTCTACTATAATCAAGGCTTCGGAAGTGCGTATGACCATGGCTACCACAATGTCGGCTGTTGAGGAAGCAGCCCGGAAGCCGAAAGCCATCGGACCCCAAAAGATTCTTCCTTCATGATAGCGTTTTGGAGCGTCATCCAAGACCCCTATCAGGCCATCGTAGCTGGTAGCCTCGATGGCTGGAATGGCATACCTTCTGTGTAGAGTGACTGAGATGAGAAGACATGAATCGTTTCATCGCCGTGGGAGAGCAGTCTGGCGAATCAAAGTCGTGGGGCATCATGTGGCGGACCAGGCGGTGTTGCCGACCCGAGGTCAGTGCCCCATCGGTAACTATGTGGTGTTGGCGCAAAATCGTCTTCGTCATCGGCATCGCCGACTGTTCCCTACTCAGCCCCCGCGCCACCATGGCCTCATCGGCAACGCAATCGCACCCCGCAGCTTACCACGAACCGGCTGCTAGAGCTGCGGCTAATCCTTCGTCTTTGACGCCGCCCCCGTCAATTCGCAGTGGCAGCGACAGTGGCCTTGACACCGGACGGCCGCCCAAACGGCGTCGCATCAACTTCGCCTGTGATTATTGCCGCTCGCGCAAGACCCGCTGCGATGAGGGCCAGCCATCATGTTATGCTTGTTCAGTGGCCGGAATTGACTGCGTCACTAGGAATCGCTGCCAGCCATGGCTTGATGTTCGGCGCCAGGAAGCTGGCAAAGTGCCGGATCGTACCCGGATGAATGATGCGTCAAGGCCGGGTGAACATGTCTCTACTTCGACTGTTCAAAGTGCGGCTGCATCACTGGCAATACCAAGACATGAAGCTACGCGAGCTACGCTCTCTCCTCGCCGGAGCCGGCGGCAACCACACCAAGCAAATGACACAATCACTGCTGAAGCAATCGCTGCATTGCCTGGTATTCAGGGCCCGTCCCAAACAGAGAATGATCCTGTCCCCATTGCAAATTCGCCTGGCATTCACCATGACAGTCAAACGCATGGCACATCTTCCGACCCGTCTGATACTGGACACGGTGTTGATGATAGATCTGAGCTCAGACATCGCCTGCCTATCCTTCAAATCGATTCCGGGAACACGCCCCTGGAATTAATGGCCAGCTGGCTAGATCTTGCGTGCTGCCGCCTCCAAATCCCTCGAGCCGGTCCTCGTCACCCCGCCCGATCCGAGGAGGACCCATACAGCGGTCAAATTACGCACAAGGATTTCGTTTTACCGGACTCGCTTGGAACGTGGCGCCTCCTAGATCGGGAAGCGCTATTACCCTTGGTTGACCGGTTTCTAGAGGGACCAAACATCTTGTTTCCTCTTTTGCAGCCAGAAAAGATCAGGCATGCGGCTCATGTCGCATTGGTGCGCGAACCCAGAGCTTTGGCACAGCAATGCGGGCTTCCAGTACTGATGCAGGTATACCTCGTCATGATACTTGGCTTTGCATCAAGACCCGATCAAGAGCTTGACTTTGATGCAGAAGGATACCTGAAGTATTCAGAGGGCCTTCTGGGCCAAATTTTGCAGCAGAGCACACTCGAAGCCCTTGAGGCCATCACACTATTATCCATGGCTCTGCGGTGTCATGGCAACCTGGCTGCAGCTGGACATACAATGAGCCTCGCTGTCTCTATGAGTGTGTCACTGGGCCTGCCGAAATACGCGTCTCGTTTGCCGCCTGGAGAGGAAAGACGAAATGTGTGGATGGGTGTATTTTCGTTTGAAAAAATGCTTTCTTTTGAGCTGGGTCGATCGTCACTCATTTCAGATGACTATCCGGAGTTGCTACGTAGCTCGGATCTGCTGAGCGGGACGGAACAGGTGACAACAACTCATGATTCCACGATTCAGTCACGGGAGCAACCAAAGGAGTCTATCTGCGAGGTTGTTCTGAGTCTGGCGAAGCTACTGGGAGATATAGGCCGATCGTGCGTCCAGATTAGCCTCAAGGAAGATGATAGGCGTGCAGGACCCATCTCAGAATTGATCAGAGATAAAGTACGGACAACAGGCCTTTCCTGTATGAAGCTAATGGGATGGGCGTCCGATGTATGTCCATCTCTTTACAAGTAAGTGTCTGGACGTGTCCCTCTTATACTCTTGCTCTCGCAGCCATGTTTATCTCCACCATCATCGTCATCGAGTCGATACGGTGTTTTGAAGATACAGGATAAGCACCTAACAAAGTTGACATGCATATAGCCCAACTGCCGACATATTATTCGATGGCAGAGTACACCCGTTTGCATCGTTCATCACAATGCAATACCACACAGCGTACGTCAACAGCACTTTGCCCTTCCTTCTTCCCTTGAGCCCCCTCGGTAGCATCTGTTTTGCGGTCGATGGCTGGATGAAGAATTCAAAACGATATAGCTCTGACATTTTCCTGCACAAACAGTCTGATTCTTGTAATGCGCAACAGCCTTCTCATTAGCGAGAAATCCATTCGTCGCTCTGTCGACATTATCGCCAAGGACGAACCATGGGAGTTTGCTGTCAGAAATGGCCAGAGCATTGCTGTTAATTCAGCGCGCAAAATCTTGAATATATCCCTAGAGTCATCGGAGAATGAGACATATCCTGCTCTTCCAAGCCTTGCTGGTCCTTTGCACGCCATGGGAGTCCTGGCCGTATTCGTGGCGACCCGTCAAAACTCGAGGATGGCAAGCATGGACCGCGAACTTTTAAAAGCTGCAGCGCAGGTAATAAAAGATGCAAATACCTCGGATCGAGGGGAGAAGCAGCTTAGCTTCGCCTTCAACAAGCTGGATGCCTTGGTAGCTGCCGCTCGATCGCGCAGCCTTAATGGATCAAACCCATCGCACCGGACACAAACTGGAAATTCCGTGCGACTACCAGATTTCACAATCAATTCACGGGACCCGGCTTCGTCCTGGACCCCCCAATCTCAAATTCCGGGTAACGATACTTCGCTGTCACAGGGAAGCGATGAAGCCTTTAGGGAGACTTCCAACGGACACGTCAATATGGCAGAAGGTGACAGTCACTTCGCATATTCAGAAGGGTGGCTCGATGATAGCTCTCCCATGATCATGAATGATTTTGGCTGGAATTGGGCCAACTTTTCGCTGCTTTCAGATGGTCAATACGACGAGTCCCAAGTACAGATACAGGGTTTTGTTTAGCTGCCTGAGTAAGTTCTTGCACTCTACATGGGACCCTGGATGAAAAGAATTTTCTGTCAAGTCATAGTACAGAGGGCGAGGGGAGTCACAGGGACACACTTGCATACTGTACATGCTTCCTGTCGGAGTAGGTTACCTGCAACCCAGATACAGAGATATTTCCAAGCTGTATTTTTGGAATTTACTAGCATTCCCGAATGCAGTAGGAATGGTAACCAAGACCCCATATCGAATTGTCCGGCTAATAGTATGTTCCAAGATGAAACGTAATATACATTATAAAGGCCATCCGAACGTGCTGGAAAAGCAGTCATTTTATTTTTCATTTGATTCTCAGTCATACTAGCTCACTCATCGTTCCTTGATTTAACTTCAATTGTATTTTATTTTGTATTACCCATGGCATACAAAACAAGTTTGATGTCGTCGTTACTACCATTGGTGAAGAAAACGCTGGTATGGCGATAGCTCTTGACTATGTGAAAGCTAACATTATTGTCAAGGTGTTTGAACGGTATCCTCATTTCAGGCCATCGGGGAACATTCTCAAGTCATGACTGCCAGCCATGCACCCCCCTCAGTGTATGGGTATAAATACCGCTGATTTCGGAGCGCCCTCAGCTTCAATCACGGTGCGGAATGACAAAGGACATATTTGTGCTACGGTACGGCTTGTCAACGACGGAATGGAGAGATACGATGACGGCTTTATTGATCTTTTGCGACCGAATCTCTATAAGTGGATGCTATCGAGTATTTCCGAGGATATGATAGAACTCAACAATTCGGTAACAAAACATAAGGACACTGGTCAATGTATGCATTTAAAATTGGGAGATGGGAGCGTCATCAACGCAGCTATCGCCATTAGTGCTGATGGAATCGACTCTACTGTCCGCACTCACCTTTGGGATCAAAGTTTATGAGGAATCCATGACTTGCATGTCATTGGTGGCTTCACTTTTGATATAGTCAACGTGGTGATTCCCAGTGAGTGCGTTATTACGCATGACGCCCAGGTTCAGGGAACACACGGACCGTTGGCAAGCCAGGGCTGAAAAGGTCTTCAGTGGTGGCTCGTCAAGGCATGGCCCCATGCCGCCTGTGGTGCGGAAAATTCCATTTTAAACAGGTTCTTCATCGCAAAGAGTCTATAAAGTGTCAATCTCTGCGATACAAATGCAGTCGCAAACGCGCTGATGAGGTACCAAGGATGTCAGTTCGAGTATATCACAAAATGGTCAAATATGCATATTTTCTAGGCAAGCTATCTAACCACTTTCGCTTTTCACTGAATTGTCTTCGTAACTTTATCCTTGAATGAACTCTGATGTTGCAGCTTCAACACGGCGATAAGAACCCTGATGAGATTAATTCACAGCTGCGATTGATGGGCAAGGATATTACAGATTATTGATACTGGTATCTTTCAAAAGACCCTTAGTCCCATGTTAATAAAGGTCAGGGTACTCCGGTTAGCAATAGTCCAGCAATGGATTGCGTACTTCATTTGTTCTATCTATTTGTGTACCTGGCAGGTAATAGGAGCCTGTTCAAGTTTGTCGATTCACTATCAGAAGTGATACCCCTCCTCCTTCGCGATTCATTAGAAATCATATTTGTGACCCTGATAGGTGATAGGAGCCCATTCAGCTTTGTCAGTGTATTCTATTAGAAGTGAAGCCCAAACTCGATACGCGACAAATCAGAATATCAGAGAATCAGAAATGTTATAGAATGGCGCAGAGGCGCATCCACATTTGGAAGTGGCGACACATGAAAAACTTTGATTCCAAGGCCCGTGTACATTCTGTGTATAAAGGGCTCGCCCTCCAATGTGCAAGGTTCGCACGGTCCCAAGATCCCCTTGCTATACACAAATAAGACCACTCCAGGTTATAGTGGTGCACACATAACCCGTGCCAATGGATGGCGGGAGGAGTTCAACGATGTGCGATGCTCCTTGCATGCCACACGGAGCCGGCTGGTTCCCTGCACCAGGGAAGGCCCAGCCTCCGTCTCCCCGTTGCCCGGTCCTTGGCCCATACTTTCAGAACGGGCTGTTCCGATCAAGTGCAAGAATGCGATGAATGCGTCGTTCGCGTTCAGAAGCGTGTTAGGCTGTCCCTCGGTTAGAGTTCGACTGTCCTCGGTGGCGGCGCTACTTAGTGCAGCCACCTTAGCTGTCCCCAGACTTACACCTAGTAGAGGACAGCCTAGCTACCCCTGAACAAAATCTGTTGCAGAGAGTATGCACTCTGTAGCTCGTCTGTTCCTTAGACATACTTGTCTAATAGTACTAAGAATACCCCCTAAGTTAATAGACAATATGTACCCCTACACTGAATCCTGACCACGTGGCTTTCCAATTACTTGGGTTGTCTAGATTTTTGATTGAAAGTAGCGGAAAATGAAGCTGCCCTAGGTAAGTTCTCAAGACTTTCTTTATGATGATTACTAAGCATCCATAGGCAGAGCTGAACCTGTAGCGGGGGACAGCTGAGCGCGCTTCTAGACTAATCCTTGTTATTCTTGAGTGAACAAGGTTCAGCTAGTAATGCCAGAGTCCTCAGCTAACTACAAATGTTCCTCAGGTCCCAGCCACAGAAAAAGAAAAAGACCCCTTAACGCCATTTAATGTGTGCATCTGCCTACCCGCCAATGGACGCATGAGTGATCGGCATGGATCTAGGTATTACTCGAAACATTGAAATGGAGCATTTGCCGTTAAGGAGTGTTCAAATCCACTGCCGCAATATTAAACACCCGGGAAAGTCTCACTTCCGACATGCAATGGAATAATCGTCTTTCTATTGACACGCATCTACCACCGTTTCCCCATTTTGTCGGTCAATATGACTGTTCTATCTTCGGCGAATGTAGGCCATATTTCCGCGGAGTACCGAAATCGGACAATTACTGTAATATGCATATGTTTTCCGCTAGCTGTGCTTGCTGTAATCCTTCGCTTTACGGCACGAAAGATATCCAGGGCCGGGATATGGTACGATGACTGGCTCGCCTGCCTTGGGTTGGTATGCTGAGACAAGATCCTGTTTTCTTTAAACCTGACTAATACTATGTGCCGTCAAGGTTGCAGTGGGAGTGTTCATCTCTCTCATACTTGTGGGTAAGGACTCTACATCAACATACGTCACCTCTATAGACTGATGTCGATACAGATCTCCCAGATGAAAGTGCAATCCAGGGCAACCCCATCCCAGAAAGTACTCTCCTTGAAAACGCAAAAACAGTCTACGTTACTGAGCTGTTCTATTACATCACCCAGTTTAGCCTGAAATCCTCCATACTGGCCTTCTACTGGCGGCTGTTCAACGTATCCTCAATACGTGTTCCCATCTACATTACTACTTGTTTTGTTGCGGCATGTTTCATCGCATCGGTAAATTGGTGTTTCTTTCGTCTGTTTAATCTCGAACTGGCATTATCCCACCTGTTGGCTTTGTACTATTGAATGCCTCTCAATGGATACACTAACTATACGAGTATTTCGCAGATTCTAGTTACCGCTTTCCAATGTGTCCCTGTTGCCTCTCTTTGGACGCCAGCATTGAGGGGGTCAGCGAAATGCGTAGAGTTGGGGCCCTTTTTCTTCGGCACCTCTATTCCCAACATCCTAGCTGATCTATTCCTCCTGGCACTTCCTATGCCTTATGTCTTGGTTCTGAAAATCAGCTGGACACAAAAGGTCTTCGTGATGGGATTCTTCCTTCTTGGTGGGTTGTGAGTCTTGCTCTTTCCTGTGGTCTGGAACCGAACATTTCTTGTTAAATGCTAACGGATATTTGCTAATAAGTGTCTTGGTCGCATCTGCTATCCGCCTTCGCCTGCTACTCCTCCTAGATCTCCAAGGATTCTTTGCAAACTGGGCTGTGGAGAATTCTGTTCTCTGGAGCGCGATAGAAAACTGTATGGGTGTCGTCTGTATCTGTCTTCCTTCTCTCAGACCGGTCGTCAACCTCCTCCCTGGGGCATCTCGTCTTGGCAAAAGTGTCGGTTCAGGTCACACAAGCGGACGTGATACGAGGTACCTTGAGCCTGAGCATGATGCAGAAAAAGCAAAGCAGCAACAATACGACGAGTATGAACTGTTAGAGCGGGATCGAGACTGTTGCTGGGTTGAGGCGGGTAGACTTGACGAGGGACATTCAATTAAGACAATTGAGGAGGATATCATCACTGTCCAGACCCAGATTCAGGTGTCTTCTGGTGCTGCGAGTAAGCTGGCAGAGGCAGCATAAGCCCATACAATAAATATATGGGAATTTCCTTTCCAGGCTTGAGTCCAAATGGCATCGTGGAGATAACAATCTTGCAAAGAAGCCTTAATATGAAACCTTTAGGCTACTAGCCACCTCTAGCTTACTGACAATGTAATAACGCCTTATTCAAACCTACTCTTAGCCTCAATACACAATAGAATTTAATACTTCATACATAGTCAGCCGCTCATATCACTACGCTGAGGGGATATAGAGTTCCGAAAGATCTAGATTTAGATTCGAGGTAAGAATTCCATCATTATCATGCTATTGATAGAATAAAGATACCATGTTTGATATACTATGACGGCATTATCACAATTTTTGGCTAATAGAACTGGTATCGCTACAAAGCAGTATCAACGCAATGGTTAGTCCCGAACGATAATATTGTACCCGAAGGATTTAAGAAGCACGCTATAGGTGGGCTATTTGGGTACTAAATAGTAGTAGGACTCTAGCTTACTTTTCCGCTCATCCAAACAATAAATAACTTTACATGAAAATTATTCTAGCTAGCCTTTGCTAACTTCACAATCTGGGAAAAGCTATTAGAAACCTAGCGAGGCTATTAATGTCGACTCTAATCACCCCTTTGTAGATGTCAAAATAATGTAATAGTAGCAATGCGTGCCTTAGCAGCGAAAAAGGCTTAGCAAGATAAATCCGCAATGGTGTGGGAGGTTTGGAAAGTAAGGGCTAGAAATATCGGAATCGTGTCCAATCTCATCTTTGTGATATGAAACAAGGATTGGATGATAGCTTTGATAATATGCAAGTCTAAAGGCTGCCGTTCGAGCCACATATCCAAGTCACGTGACAATCACACAGGGTTACACACCAGGCTGCGCACCCAACTCCCTAATCTATGAGTAACTTATAGACACTATAGACGCTCCAATGGTAGATGTTACCACCTCTCTCATAACATTTTGTTTTGCTAGAGTATTTATAAATTTTTTGTAGCATGTTTTGAAATCTATATACGCTGGGTAGAAGAGTTAGAATTTACATATATTGCTTTTACTATCGCAACCTCAGCCAGCATCCTGATTCCTACAACACATGGCACCTCCTTATGGAAAATATCTGTTTACGTCTAGCGAATCATGAACACAATAAGGGGTCGAGGGACCACAAGTCCAGAGGTGATATCGTCCTCTTGAGCCTCCGCTGCAGTACTTTTTCGCCCCAGCAGGTTAGTGAGATTCGCGAGTGTGTGACAAGAGAAAGTTAAATAGAGCAAGACGGTCACGGGTATGACCTACTATGCTATTATCGCTGGCACTTCCGCATGACGGTGTATCTCCTTTATTGCAAGCAGAAGTTGACAATGCCGCTGCCAGCGTTGGAGAAAAGCCGACGGCCATCAGAGGAAGAGTGAATGGTCTCATGGTTTTACGTGTTGTTGGATGTTGTGATTGTAGACGATTGTAGATTTGTGGTCGAAGGCGTGGTAAGTTTTCTGATGGTGAGAATGAAACCACAGTCGGTTTCAACATCGAGAGTATATTTATATTCCACGTGAAGAGTCGTCCATTCTAAGCACTAGGGTGCTTCCAGCTAGGGAGCGGGGTGATTATAAAGGCCTATATTCTAGTAGAGGACATTTGTCCCCACTTTCATCGTAAAGCACGGTCACCGTGCCCCGAGACAAGACGACGAAAAGAGTGTGGGGTAGCCATTCATATGGAAACTTTTGGTAAATTGGTAAGAACCTTTGATAGAGTCTCGGCAGTTGTTAGCCTGGAACTTTCATGTGCAATCTGCGTTACGTAGTGTAAAACTTGCGGGTATAACCTGCGCAGAGGCAGGCGATTGTCACTGTAGAAATGTACAGACGTGCCGATTTGCATTTTTTATCAAGCGCATTCGAACTCTTGGCCTTCTAGGATGTCTGATATTGAGTTATGTCTACTGGATGAGCAGTGAGAGGACTGTGCCGTTTCATAGGCGGCGGTTATACAACCTACCAATAATTTGTTATTTAACCTACTAATAAGCCTGCTAGAGAGGGGTTTATATTAGCGTTGTAATATCTAAACTATATATAGTTAGTACTATAATAAAATATCTTAGCGCTTATAGCTATACTTTAAGGAAGTAAATTTAATGTTTTCTTTTCTTTTTACGTAGTAACTAGTGCGTATAGGCCTATAAGCATGTTCTTAAGCTTATATAGAAGCTAGTTTTAGAGCCTATATAGAAGCCCGTTTTAGACAACATATTTAAGCCTATATTTAAGCTAGTTTTGGAGCCTATATTCAAGCCTATATAGGAGCATATATGGGAGCCTATATTCAAGCTAGTTTCAGAGCCTATATTATGATTATTATTATTATTATTATTCTAGTTTAACGTCCTTTTTCAGCCCGAAGGGCTATATAAGACGTGTAGGGTTTTTAGGCCTACAAGTATCTAAGTAGGTTGTTTCTAGCTACGATATTTAGGAGGGGTTTTAACTAAATAAAGGTGAAGCTCGTAGCCTATTAGTTAGTAGGTAGGGGGTGGGATAAGGTGGGGGAGGTGTATGGCTACCTGTTACAGGTATTACTCCTCGTTTTCTGTGTTTCCCTTGTACCAGGCTTGTGTTCCAGCCTTTGTTTCTTGAATAAAGGTAATAGTTGCTTCTATACCCTCTTTTGTTTGAAAGAGGATAGGTAGTGATAGATCGCCTTCGCAGGCTTCTCTTAGTCCTTTTCTTTCCTCTCTATATAGATTACATCTAAATAGAATATGAGGTAGGTCTTGTATAGACCTATAGTTGCAGGGGCAACTATTAGAATCCACTTTCCCTCTCTTATATAGGTAGTCCCTTAAGTAACAGTGCCCTAGTTTAAGTTGGTAGAAAGCGCTAGAAAT